ACATTTTCGAACCGGTTCCAGCGTGTAGAGATCAAGAAACTACTTAAAAAATGGTGGTAAAGCTGTTTTAGAAGAGAACTAGCTATTCGGGTGAAAGAATGCCCTAGGAGGCCAAAATAACTTGACCCGGTCGGTAATTTATGGCCTAGTAGGTCGAACTGCCGCTAAACTACCATAATAACACCAGAAAACGTATTAAAACAACTATTTTATCTCTACTTTATGTAATTGTTTCCTCTCTCCATACGTTTGCCTTCCCCATAGAGCGCTTTCTGGCATTGGGCGCTTTTCGTTTGGCGCTTCTGCATGGGCGCGTTTCTCGTTGGCGCTTCTGTCATCCTCCCCGTTACAGCCTGCGCTTTTGTCGGCATGCTGATTCTTATAGTTGATTTCTTCTTGCTTTTCTATTCATAACTCGATTCCGACCAGCTACTATAAATATTTTTTGTCAATAGGCTTCGTACGTTGAGCCTGTTTTCATGTCATAACTAGATATCCTACTATTCCTACTACACAACCGCCCATGGGTTCGGTCCAGATGGTCCAAGGGAAAGGGCGTACTGTGCGTGTTTTTCGCGCGTTGCGTGCGGGTGCGCGGAATAGCAACCGGTTTTTAGCTGCGCAGGCCTTCTTTCGCAATTGCGCGACGCGTCTATCGCACGCGTTGCGGTCTTCCCTGCTTTCCAAAGCTACCGGACGTTTTTATTAGGAGCCGGGCCGCTGTGACTATTATTTTATATATATAAAAAAATAGTGTCTGTGTGTGTGCATTTGCATGCAACTTCCGTGAGGTTGTCTCTCACCTACAGCCTCAGGGGAGAGTTTTTGAGGTACGTATGATACGTCGTTAGGTGCGTAATGGTGCCGAGATGAGTGCACACATATCAAAGTTTTGAAAAATTACTGTTTTCGCAAGTAAAATTGGGTTTTTGTAAAGATATCGGAAAATCTCTTTGTTAGGAGCCAATTTGCATGCACCGGAAGCGGGGAAAGCTTATATAAGGGGGTAGAGGGGTCCTTTTCATTTTTTTGCAATCAAGGTTCGGGAAGAAATATGTGTGCGTTAGACGGGGCCAGGGTTGAAAAGCCGCGAAGCGGTTTTTCAACCCTGGTTTTACATTAATTTTAGCTGCTTTCTTTTGATTTTTGACGGAATGTTTAACTTCCTAGCAAGTTATAAAGTAGATTTATTTCTCTATCATAGGGGCAATAAGTAGCCAAAGCCATTACTAACGCCAGCTTCATGGGGTAAAACCATAAGCGGCCATTGATTTGGCCAGTTTCCCCAAAATGCCCTCAGAAATACATAGAATACTTGGCTGGGTAGGGTAGTTTACGTGAAAGACATGATTAATGACTAAAAAAATTTTTTGTTCCAGATTATTTTGCAATCATTTTGGTGGCACTGTCGCTCAGCTGTTTTGCCCCAATGGTCTTTACTCAATTCGTGTTTGGAAATTTCACTATTTCTGTTAAAACCGGGGCTTTCTGCGTTTTTATGCTTGGGTTCTTACTGGGCTTAGGGCTTCGTTCTCCTATGAGCCGTTTCTGCCTTTCTCTCCCTCTTTCTCTCTGGACACCTCTCTGTATCTATCTCTATATGCGGTTGTATGCATTTCGGTCGCCGATCGGATTCTTTCGTACCCATGCCGCCATCCACAACCCTCGTTCCTTTCTTGTTTATGCCCCGTTTCCGATTCCACAACTTCCGTTTTTTTTCAGAACGATGATCGGCCAGACGACGTTGGCGTTGTGCCGAAGCAGCGGCCGTCAGGTTCAGGTTGGAAAAGCCAGTGTTCGTGAGAATTCGTTTTTTTCAGGTCATCCGCAGCCTGAAGCAGTCGGCTCGCCTTTACGAAGATGTGAAGACGCCGGTGCAGAAATGGGGCTGGGAATATCTCGTGCGCCAGAAGGAGCTGAAGCGGCCCCTTTCGCCCAACCTTGGCATCTACAAAATTCAGTTGACAATGTAAGTGTTATTGGGTCCGGAAAAGCCAAGGGTCCGAACGTTTTGTTTTGAAAAATTCGGATTTTTAAAAAGCTTGATTGAAATTGTTGAATTCATTTTTAGGGGAATGTCGGGATTGCACCGTGTGACGGGATGCGTGATGGCCGGCGCCTTGCTGGTGGGCTCAGTCGGATTTGCCGTTGCCCCATTCAACTTCACCCAATTTATCGACACGATCCGGCGTTGGGATCTGCCAGGAGTTCTGCTCTTCCCCATTAAGGTAATTCACTTGATTTCTTCCGTAAAACCCGCAACAAAATGCTTTTTTCAGTGGATCATCGCCTTTCCTATCGTCTATCATTCTTTGAACGGCATCCGACACATGGGCTTCGATATGGCAAAGGTAACTCACCTCTCAGCCCTTTAAATTAATTCCCTGTTTTAGGGTACCGATTTGGGCTCGGTCTACAAAAGCGGCTACCTGGTGCTCGGCCTCTCCGTCCTCATCAGCACTTTAATCGTGATCCGCGCCTCCTGCAACAGCACTCCTTGCCCGCTCACCCAGAAGAAATAGATCAACAGCCTTCATTGATTTTTACCTCTTTTTAGCATTGTGATAGTACTCCATTAAGGCATTAGTCTTTACTCCTTTCGTGTGTCTTTGCTTTTGTCTCTGTGCACAGTCGTCAAACCATTATTCTTGTTTTCAATTCAGTGCGCTAAGAAAATAATCCCGGTATCCATAAATAAATTTCAGGTAAGATGACTGAGATCGATCCGGGCCCGATAACATTACGGGAGGAGGAGAGGAGCTCGCTCCACCGAAGTGTCGACCCGTCGGTAGCGATAGATGATAAACAGTCTGTTTTCTGATTAATTTTTAATCTTCGTTTTTTTTTAGTGTGACGACGAGGCGGAAGGTCGTCTACGATTTCGATTATGAAGATCCTCGTCTCCGAATGGAAGGGTATGTGCTTTATAGGCTATTTATTATTGTCTTGATTCCAGGTTTGTGGTTGATTACTTCTCCTGGCGGATCGCTGAAAGCGGTGGCGATTGGTATGATCAACCAGAACAAGGAGAAACCCAACCCGAATACAAAATCGTTAGGTATGTCATTGATTCCTGACTAAACTTTTGAGCGTTTAGAAAAGTCTGCCAAATCTTCGAGCGTCGGTTTCAAGAAGAAATACGGCGCTGCGCGGCCCCGTTGATCGAATCGCCCTCGCAAACATTCCAGAAATATTGCACCGTAAGCTATTCTCATCTTCCGAATAGCAAGTTTTAGGTCGTCGAAAAGTTTATTAATACTGCCAATCAAAGTGATGGGGTGATGTCGTATGGAAGATTGGTAAGCTTTAATTACAGTTTTGCATTTTGTCCACGCTTTTTGTGTGATATTTTTCCTCTAAAAATTCAATTTAGATTGGACTACTCGCGTTCAGCGGCTATCTGGCTGCAATGTTGGCGAACACCGGCCATCGGCATGAGATCTCGCAGGTAATTTCATTTCTTTTTCTACTTCAATTTTTCTATAGGTGTCGCTTTATACCTCGAAGTATATCCAGTCTCGAATAAATGCTACATGGGCCGACGAGCATCTCTCATGGGTAACGCTTTTATAGGTTTCTCAAAATTGTTACAGGCGGATTTCATGGAGACATCCAAGGCATCACTCTTGGAGCGTGAGGCACAGCAAAACAGCGACGGCCATTTGGCGAGGTAAATATTATAACGAATCGCCCGTAATTTCGATTTTTAGATGGGGAATAGTGGCGGCGGCGGTAGTTGGTGTCATGGTGTCTGTCTCCTTGCTACTCAACAAGCGCCATTAATAATCTCTTCCCGGATCTCTCACTGTTTCTACTCTCATTTTTTTCTCACCCGAATACTGGTATTTTAATCTCACACTTAACCTCTACTCACAATTCCACGTTGCCTTTATTTCTCAATTTCTCATCTAGTAAGATAAAATCTCATCATTTGCCTCTCGGATAGCAACGACAAAAGCTTGCACTTTTAACGGTACGACGGGGGTCTTGAAATGCCGTGCCATTCTATGCTGTTTTCTTTCAGTAAGTGCAGGCCAATATTGCGGGCTGCTTTTCTTCCCTTAATACCTAGAATAATTTTCACGCGCGACAGACAGAAAAATTATGTTCCTGAAGGCCCCCTCGACGCCCCCTCTTCCAATCAGCCTTCCGGGGTGCTTGAGACGTGACGGACCTCAAGATGATCCTCCTCTGCCCAAGGCGCCAGACCCGGCCCGCCCCTTCCGCACCTAATTAGCCGCATTCCCCCTTTCCATATGTTCATAAACACATTGATCACGTTATAAGCATCGTCTTTTCGGGCGGTGCTTCTCGTTAGCGTGAACTCTCTAAACTGAATCACATGATTGCCGACGCGAGCAACGACAGCTATCACTATTCGAAGACATGGCAATGCAGCACTTGATTCAGACAGCTGCGCTCGAGACGACCCCAAAATATTCATGGTGAGCTACCTAAAAATCGACATCGAAACCGCGCTGCTGGGCCTCTTTGATATCTGAAATTTTTCAGGGCACGGGCCCCCATCGCAACAGCCATTTCTGGCGATGGCAAAGGATGGTTGTGGAACGGCGGATCAGTGGTCTGGAAACGCTGCGCATTCTCAGTCTTCTTTGTGGCTGGGCTGAATGTCGCCGGTTTTCTCGTCCGCTTCGCCTTCGAAGCTGGTCCGGCGACGAACGGTGCATTCTGGATGCACATGCACGCCGGACTCGCTTCTTTCTCCCTCGTCTATGCCGTTGTCGTTGCGGTGACACGGGGGCGATTGTCCGTGGTGGTCGTTCTGAGCATGTTGACCATCTGGTTCTCGATCACTTTTGGCATCTTCTTGCTGATGACGATGGCTGTATCACTTGCGGCTATAGATTGAGCGCCCGTTTATTTGTATAAAATACGATAAAGTCCTAGATCCGGATATATGTCACAGAAATCGACAACTAGTCAAATCAAATCACAATTAAGCGCACCCAATGGCTAAAGATGGCAGAAATAATGGTTCAGAGGGCCTTGGTCATCTCGGGTACAGCCTTGAAGAGGTCCTCCTTCAGTCCAATGTCGGCAACCTAAAATAAAAACATTGACGATGACTAAGCACCTATTTTATAACGATTGCTAACATGTCTCGCTTTAAAATAAATCACTGAAACGTGCCTGGAAAATCGGAGCATCTCCATCCTTGTTAATCGCAACAATGGTCTTGCTGTCCTTCATGCCCGCAAGATGCTGGATGGCCCCAGAGATACCAACGGCGATGTACAATTCCTACAAACGAACTACAACACCAAATAAATCCTACCGGTGCGACAATTTTTCCCGTCTGTCCGACCTGCATGTCGTTGGGGCAGTATCCGGCATCCACGGCCGCCCTCGACGCGCCAACACCAGCGCCAAGCTGAGGGAAGGTATTAGGAATAACGCTAAATCAACCTTGTCAGCAAGGTCGTAGATGAGCTTGAAGTTGTCGCCGCTCTTCAGGCCCCTCCCTCCAGAAACGACGATCTGAATGCAAAGAGTCATTCTATTGAAAGAGATAGCAATACCTTAGCGGTTCCCAGGTCGGGTCGCTCGCTCTTTGACAGCTCTTGTCCCAAGAATTCACTGTCCGCATTCACCTCCCCAACTTTCACTAAAATAGTAGGCAATTAGACAAAGGAATATTTAGTTACAATCTTCAACGGCACCGCTACCGCCACCAGCAGCAGGGGCGAAAGCAGTCCCGCGGACCGTGAGCAGCTTGACGGTAGCTGTCGATTGGACCTAGAGGATGACCCGATTAATCAGCAACCCAGCTTATAGAACCTTTGCAACAGCATTTCCGGCGTACATCGTCCTGGTGAAGGTGTCGGCCGAGTGGATTTGCGTGACGTCCGACACTGGCGAAACTCCCAGCTTAGCGGCCACCCGTGGGATCAGGCCGCGGCCAAAAGCCGACGCTCCCGCCACGATCGACGAGAATTTCTGGGCCTCGTGTGCAGCGAGGACTGCTCCCGCAACGCGCTCTAGGTTTGAATAACAAAACGGTTTTACAAATCCTCACCAGGCAACGAGTTCTTGAATTTGTCGTCCTGAACAGCGAGGACCTTCTTGACGGAAGTGATCTAAAAGAAAAATAGCAAAATTACCTTGCAAAATTGAACGTACCTTCGCGGCCTCAGCAGCCAGCGCCTTGGCATTCGAACTGGCGACAAGGACCGTAACATCACCGCCCAACTAAAAAAAAATGCAAAAAAAGAGAGAAACGTACCTTGGAAGCAGCAGTGATGGCGTTCAGCGTGATTGGGGACAGCTTCTCATCGTTGTGCTCGGCGACGACGAGGGTCGAAGCGAAGCGTGAGCCCTAAGGACAATTTGTCAGTCTTTTGAAAGAAAATATACCGCAACTGAGGTGGTGAACCCCTTGGAGAGGAGCAGACGGCTGGGGATCATCTCACCCTGTAACTAGCCGGGTTATCCTTTCGCCGGCAAAAACACCCTGTGTGTGCCACCGAGTGATATGGCGATAAAATCTAGCGAGAAAAGAAAAGATACGGTGGAGCGGAAATTGGAACGGATATAGCAGAGCGACAGGAGGTTTGTGTAATGAAAAATGTCAAGTCGAAACGGCGGAAAAACTTTGAGTATAAACACTTACTAACTCAAATATGATAACGTTCAAATATTAAGTCGAGCGATTATGACGCATCGTTAAAAATAATACTGCATGGAAATGAATACTTTATTTATAAAGAAGGCCAGGCAATATGGGCATAATAACAATAAAATACTCGATTGAGCAAATGGTATCCACAAATAAAGCCGAAAATATCCCCCGCCTGCCCGATGATATCGGAATGAAAGCAATGAAAGAACGAAAAGTACGCGAAATGCCGTCAGTAAGGGACTAGATTTCGTAAAGATTGGCAATAGCGGCAAGGATTATTCGCCCCATTTCTTCCCGCGGATGACACCGTAGCTGATCAGATATTGTCGCAGATCGCCCAGTCTGTCGCCGAGCCGGACCTTGACGATGAGCCGACCATCCGGCTGAAAAAAAAACTATATTGAAAAGTAAAGGGAACTTGTAAAACATGAGGGTTCAAGCGTTCGAGCAAGTTTGTAAAGTTTGGACAGTCGAATGAAGTATTCCTTTAGGGGAGGCTCGCTGGTCCGCGTAGGAGTCTTTCATTTCAATTATTAAAGCATGTAATAGATAAAATAAACATGCTTGGAAGCTTGCGATCACTTCCTACATTAAGCTTGCTTGGAGGACACACCTTATTAACTAGCTAATTTATTAATTATTGACATCTGCGGATAGATTGCTGATGTAAAAAATGCTATAAACTAGCGTTCCGGGCGTTTTATAGGTACTCCAACTTTACAGGCTTGCTCTAACGCCCCACAATTGCCAAGTAAAGATACTCGCTCACCATATGGCCTAAGATCTCGGTCAATTTGAATGAAAAAGGCGCCGCCGCTTGGGCGGTCGTAATGTGCTGCTGGTAATACTCCGCAGAATCCTGAAAATTATTTTCACAGAGTTCGCAAGCGCTCAACCTCGTCCAGCACGTCGAACGGCCAAATGGTGCAGGGAAAACAGGTGGCCGGAAAAGTGGTCAGCTCTTTTGGCAACGGGCTCAAACGATCAACCCGCACCTCCTTGTCATATCCGTAATCCACCAGATGAACTTTGACCATTGTCTGAAAAGTAATACGTGTAACGAAGATCAATGAGTACAAATCTCAACCTGATTCCTGCCGCGGATCTCTTGAAGATAGACGCGATAATAGGCGTCGGTTTCCCGGAGAATACAGGCATCTTTATCGTGAAGGTTCTCCATGATTGCTGGCGTGGGGGGTTTCCAGCATGCCCTATATATTTTCCTTTTGGTGCTATAGGGAAAAACAGTACTTGAGTTTCGCTGACAAGCCCTCCCGTTGCTTGCTATCCGTCAGGTACAAAGTGATGGTGAAATTGGAGAAGTTGAATGGAGGGCTCAGATCCAAATGTATCTGAAAAAGCGAGAACGTTCGACAGATAAAGAAAGTGATACCTGTCGATCAGCATACATGGGATAGTCAGCTTCGGGCACGCGCAGGATTGGGTGGGTGAAGTCGAACTGGCCCAGCTTTAATTTTTAAGTTGCAAAACCCAGAAAGCTACTCACCGGGGGAAATCCATAAGACACGTTAGACGCGGGTGGCTAAAAATGGCTATTTTTACATATCAAACACCTTTATATAGCTAGTAATCGAAAAATAGCACAAACCGGCGTCTCCCGCAGACCTTCCACTGATCGCGAAGAACCATGGACTGATGGTGGCCTATAAATCACTGGTACAGCAACGAAGAAAAAATTACCGAAAGCGCGGAGCCCGTAGCTCGGCGGGGAAGTAATCGCAAAGGTATCGATGCGCTGGAAACGATAGTTAAGATTCAAAAGAGCCACCGACTTTCATCACGAATACCCGGGTCGGTTGGGTGCTCATGCTTGATCTCTAACTTCCCCTCTCCGTGACTTGCGAATTGGAAGGAGCGCCGGAGACCCTAAACCGTATATTTCATAAATCTAAAAAAGATACCTTGTCTTCCAGATCTGGATCAAATTGTAGCTTGATGATGTTTCTTGTCCATAGGCGCAGCGAACTCTCCGCGAATCCGAAATCACGGGTGATTGCCTTCCAGCTTTCCTTTCCTCCGTTCTCCGAGAGGTATTCATAAATCTAAAAATAATCAACTCCAGGAAGAGATTCGATAGATATGGCCGATTAAATCGAAAAGAATAAACTGTGCGCACATCAATCCAGAGCCGCCACCAATCATCATTTTCAATGTGGAGGTGGTTGGGAATGTGCTCAATGAAGACGAGGTGCGAGTGAAAGATCATCATCCTGCTTCCTGGGTCGAGCTTCACATTGTTCTAAACATAGTAAGTGTCGAGACCCTAGAATAGCGCATACCTCTTCAACGAACACAATGATCGGCTCGTAGTCGAATTTCACCGTGTTTTTTTCTATATTCCCAAAGATTACCCGGTGTAGTCCATTATCGAACCTGAATTAATGGAAAATTTATGCATAAAATCCGTACCTCCTAAATCCGTCGACAAGGTGGTTTAGCGGGACAGCACCTCCCTCGCGGTGAACGTAATCGGCAAGGCCCCGCATCACTTGTGTCCTGGTGACCTGAAAAACATGATGTTGTTTATAAGTTCATTGCTTGCCTGTGGACGCGGTACCGTAGTGTTCATCGGCCTCCCTTCATCGTAGGGAGGATACGGGCGGTCATCGGCTTCCCGGTGAACTAGGCCAGGCGGCTAAATTTGGTTTCAAATTCCGGAACCTAACAAACCGGTGGGATATCGTGATAATCGTCGAATCTAGGTGGATCACCCCTCGAAAAACCCTCGTTATCTAAAGCTGTCAGTGTTAGAACCACTCTTGTACTGGACTCACAATTCGGTCCACCGCGATCATCATAATTATAACCACGTGGGCCCCGCTCTTCGTATTCGTCAGGGGGATAGTCTAAAAACAGCGCTTTTCAAAAACATTTTTCAAACCGTCAACTCTCCGAGACTCTGGCGGCTGTCTATCAAATTCTCTGTCCCGTCCGTTTATCCGGTCTTGGGAGCGTGGCTCGCTAAAACAGGCCTGAGGAACTGCAAGCACACCGACTTGTATTGAGGAGCTGCTTGGTAGCCGTTGCGAGGGGGCGAGGGCGGTCTCCGGAATCCATTCGAACTGTTATTGCTGGGCGGCTAAAATGAGGTACTTTTTCGCATAAAAAATCCAAGCCACTGTTTGGGCCTTTAAAAACGCACCGGAGCCGCGCTTCTAAACGCGGCACCATAGGCACCAGGTTGTCCGCGTCCTCTTCCGGCGTTTTGCGAGAATCCACCTCTTCCGCGGAACCTCCTCCTCCTCCCCCTCGCGATTTCTGAAGCAAATTTCGGTAAGTTCTACACAAGAAACAAACCTTGCTCTGTTGAAGCTGGATTTCGGCACGTTGGTTGGCGAGTTCATTGCTAATTGAGACAACCCGAACATATTGACCCTCAATGGCGAACTATAAAGAGGGTCAGCTCTCAAGGCTATCGAAAGTCCTTACCAAATCGGGCTTCTTCCGTAGTAATTGTTCTATTGAGCCCGCGTTATACATCTTCGGGCTTATATCCAAGCCATACGAATCGTAATATTCCTATGCATAAGTAACCCATATAGCCACAGAAAATTACCTTTAGGATATTCTTTATCAGAATTTTTCCAGAAGACTCGCTCACCAAAATCGTGTGAATACCGTCCAACACATCATCTAATGGCGGCTGATCAGGCATTTTTACCGCGTAACCCTAAAGATCATAATGGTCGAAACTATCGAAAAGACAACTTCAGTTCGGTACAGTTCCATCCAATCAACTTCAGCCAACAAAGATATTTGTTCGGTGCGTCAGCCGAAAGCATATATTTCAAGGTCAAACAATCAATCAAAACGTTTATTCATTAATTCATTTCAGTTACAAGCACATTATAAAAAACTTTTTCGGAGCTTTCAGAAAACTTCTCATGAAATATACATCACCAGTGGTGGAAACCCATCACGTGAATTTCGAGACCGAAAGCTTTTAGTGGAATTAGTGCATTTCCAAAGAGAAATGGGCTGCTCCCAGATAGTGTTACAGTTTTATATACTTTATGTCTTTTCAGTAGAAGCCGTGGGATTTTCTTGCATGGATTGTACCTAAATAAAAAATCTCCGATAAGAAAAATTTGAATACCTGCGCTTCCATACTTGCTATGCTTTCTGTTAGCCCCTTGATCAAAGCCTTCTTTTGCTCGAGCTGTTGCGTCTTCGAGGCTACAGAATCGATCGATCTGAAAGAGGAAGGTCGGATTAGTTGAGTAAACGGGAAACCTTTTTAAAATGGCCGCTCGCGACAATTTTTCGCCGTCCTTTGAGACTTTTGCCTCCAGCGACCCATACATAGCCTAAAATTGATGCGGAGGTATTGTTTTTCTTGTATAAAAGCGTGATAAGATTAAATACTTTTATATTATCGCGCCGCCGTCGTTCAAGCGCGTTATGTTGGGCCCTGGCGTGCTTTTTGGCCTCATCGTCACCGCGTCCCGATGGGCCCTGAGAATCGTCCAACGAACCCTCATAATCGTCATCGTCGTCCATCTCAATCCTGGAAATTTTCTATTGATTTCTTACCTCCTGCAAGAATACAGAGCTTCGATCAAACTTCCAAGACGTTTCGTTCAGATAGCTTTAAAGCTTTTGCACCGGTAAAACGGGCAAGTAACCCCATTGTAAGCTATAAAGTAAAAATTGTATTATGCACAATTTATCGACTATTCATTGGATATCATAAAAACAAGCAACGAAGGCAAAGATTGAGATCAGGCCGATGGACTCGCAGATAAGTTACAAGCTCAAAAAAACGAATCATAGGATAGTAAAAGACCATTATTACAAATCAACAAAACAAAAAGAAAAATGTTTTGGTCACCCATCCGCTCTCGCGTCGCCCAACAGAATGTGTTGTACTTCTCGGGCAGCTTGTTCCCATTCGGGATCTTGGCCCTTGCTTGCTGGCTTCGCGTCCTGCCATTGCGTATCGGCGAGGAGACAAATTAACTGAAAAGGGTGAGACATTTAAAGGGATAACGACGGCATAAGTAATCAGTGACGCGCCGGAAAGAAAATGTCTCTGCGTCTCGCCCCTGAGCGCGTTCTCTGCACTGTTGGCTATTTGCCAAAAATTCGAACAAGGGTGATCGGCCTATGCCGTCGGTATCCCTTCAAATAAATAAGACCAGCGTACATTATCATCAACGGCTTCCAACGTGCACAATGTCTCGATAAGCGCTTCTGCAGCGGCCCGTCGGACAGCAGGGAATGCGGAGAACAGCCCAGAGACCACCTGAAATCAGAAATTACAATTGACAACCGTTATAATACCGTAGCAGCTGCATTTTTCCAGACGACACTGTTCGGTGGGCAAAGTAGGAGTGGAGAGACGGCATTTAGACACAACCGTGCACGAGCCGGCGACAGCTTTGAGTTGGCAAGTACCTAAAGAAAATTCTGCTTTCAGGAAACAAGGCTTACCTTCTTACAAGTCAATATGATGTCTTGGATCGGCCGCGAGCTATCTGGTTTCTCCAGAACACTCGGGATCCGTGGGAGGACCGTTTGAACAACACGCAGCAAGGGTACGAACATCCGAGCTGCTCTGGGCGGTCTGAGAAGCCTGGCAATCAACGACAGGGCGCCGTCGATCTCTTCTTCATTGGCGGCATTCAAGTATTCGTGAATCGCTTGTAGCGCGAATTGAGAGGTGACATCAGATATTCCGCCTATAATTTTTAAGGGCATAATTGGGAGATTCTGGTGCTTCGCTGACGCGATAAAATGCCCTTCGCTTACGCCACTTTAATGGTCGGCTTGGCTTGGGTCAGCTGCTTTGCCAAAATAGGGTAATTTAAGGCAAAAAAAATACCAGCGGCTATCATCAATCCCTTTAGGACCCATTGCGAGTATGGCTCTAGCGAGAGTAGAGGTCGAAGCCGGTACAGTTGACTGTCACTAAAATGAGTCTCGATAAGCTTGTAAAGATTTTTTACTGGATAAACAATGCTGGTTCTGCGAATATTTCGTTGAGCAATTGAGAGTGCGCCATGTTAAAGTCACCGCCGTCAAGGATATTTTTGATGCAACCGGCAGCCACCTAAATAATAAAAGTGATTTACGTAAGACAATTGCCTACCTCGCGGACGCGCCCAATTCGTTCAGCGGCTTGTTGAAGTAGGTGGCAGATCAATTGCTCCACGAGCACCTAGAACAACAGATTGCTGCTATGCTATCAAAAACTTACATTCGAATATTCGCCAGGGCTTTCCAGCACCAAGTTCTTAACGGCTTCCATGGCCGAGGTGCGAACGAATCGCCCGATATCGCCGCGCTCATCTTCGGTGTAATCGTCTAAACCGCGTGGTCAACAGAAAAATTGTAGTCCTCCTGCCTAATGCTCCAAGCAAGGAGTCGAACAGTGCCGGACGTATTGATTGTAGCGAACAATCGACAAAAGTCCTGCCATTAGAGCAAAGTTTTGAGACAGCCTTGATAGCTGCCGATCTGGCAAATGCCCACTTCAGATCCACGGGAGTTGTTCTAAAGACTATATAAAAAAGGATTTGCAGAATACTCTTTAATAATTTGGCATAGTCGGTCAACGAGGCCTTTCTCCAGTTGTAACTGATTTGGAAGCGATTCGAGGATAGCACAGGCACCGCCGCGTTCCCATTCTCTTGCCGCCATGTTTATCTGAAAAAATATTTTCGTCGTAAGCGCATTACTTGCCTTATGCAAACATGAGCTGAGAAGTCGTTGCGTCCATTCTGGGCTTCGGCCAGGTAGCAATCCCAAAAGGGCCCTCGCCGCAACACCGCCAGCTTCACGGATAGCCGGATTTTCGTCACCACAACATGTATCGACGACGGTCAACCAATCAGCGAACTAATAAAATTAATGATTTGATCAAAACCAAAAGGCCTTTATTTTCGGTTATAGAAGAACTCACAAACTCGTCGTCAATTTGGATCGACGATGATGCCAGCGAAACATATTGAGCAAGCGCTTTCTTCACCATTTCGCCACCAATTCCCTTGAGGGACGATATTCTCGGTAGGACGACGGAAGGGACCGAGTTCAGGACTTTCGCATTTTCAGGCGAAACTAGTTGGGCAGTAACTTCACAGATACCCTTCACCGTATGTGAAACGGCGAGGAGTGAGCCATGAAGGACAACCTATGTTCATAATGAAGCAACTTCGCAACCAAAATCTCCCTACCGGGCCATTCTCGGTGAGTCGAGGCAAGATTGATTCTTGGATAGGGCCCCAAACATCGGACGGGAATCTAAAATTCATTAGATAAAGAAAAAAGGAAAATACCTGGTTGAAAGCGCTTGGAGGGCGATACCTGCCATTATTCTCATCGTTTCATCCCAATGTGTTACCTAAAATCGATAAAAATTAGTGATTCAAGGCTTTGTCAGAATTACCTTCAATTCGATCAAATGGTGGACGATCACTGGACGATATTCTGCGTGCTCAGCTACTTCTACGCACAAAGATGAAAAGCATCTAAAAATCTCTTGGAAGGGGTAGTTCCCGTACCGATTCCTGTTTCCAACGGCAAAATAGTCAACCATCGAAAGCAGGGCAATTCCGCTAGTGATTCCACCAATACGGCCGACAGTCTCCTAAAATAGAACATTTTCAGACGATCGTTGACGTTTATTTCTGCTTAATCATATAATTTTATGTTAACGATCATGATTAACCAACCTGGAAAGCGGCCGACGCCGCACGCCGAACCGAAATTTCCCGATCAAAAAGCGCGCAGCATATCTGAATAAGACTTTACCGTGCAAAAAAATGTCATACCAGTTTCTCAGCCACTCTTTGTGTGAACCCCTCAAGTTTTTCCGGGGCAAACGCACGGGCCCAAGCCCAGATGACAAAGCATGCCGCGTCACGGACACAGGAGCCCCAAGCAAAACGACCCATTCGCTCCTAAACAATTTTGAATAAATGAAGCCTGACCAATAATGACCTCGTAGAAGAGCGCGCGCAGCACCACTTCAAAGGCGACGGGTAGCAGTTCGGGCAACAGTAGCCCTCGCCTTGATAACTCGGCCAATGCGAGACATCCGCCATGCCAGGAGCCATATCCTGCATTGTCCGTAAAATTTGAGGCCAGGATGGAAGAGACGATTTGAGAGGCAAGTTCCCTGAATTTGGTCAATAAACTTGTTGAGTAGCTCACTTGTGTAGGCGTTCCGAAATGCGGGCAATGCCTTTCGCAGCTGACCATCGAACCGTTGTATCATTATCGTTCAGGTTTGGGAGAAGAAGACCCAACGACCATTCAACCTAAAGAACACTATAATATGATGAGATGACAAGTCATACAATCGGATCGGGAGCTATTTCGCCATGTGGTTCTTCATCGAGCCTCGTTTCAGGTTTCGCAGAATCGACCACCGGACCAGCAAAGTTGTCTTCCAATCGTCGTTTCCCCCTAATTTCATATTAGACTGCCAACGAGACCATACCTCTGATACCGCCAAAGGGCCAATATTGGGGGCAGGATATTCAGGGACAATCTCTGGATCAACTTGCATACACATTTTCGGACCTATGCCAAGGGTTAGCGTTGGAATGGCGGATTACCAATGTATTCTGCTTCAGATTGACGGAGAGTGGCTCGACCACCGTCGAAATTTGATGTGTAAATGGCAGCATTATTTGACGAGGTGTGTGCTTCAACATGGCCAGTAGTAAGACGAGACGTCCAAGTACTCGATCCGTCTTTTCAGTTAGGAGATATTGCACGGATTCGTCGACGACCTAAATCTCAAAACGTCGTAAAAATAGGCGATTAGCTTCCTGGGTGTTGTAATGTAGTGATAATTTACCGATTGGCAAAGATGTGAAGCCTCTTGACGAGCCAAGCAGTCTGCAATGAGCCTCGCAGCAGCAAACTATAATAGTATCAGTATGACGGAAAATTACTGCGACGGACTTGAATAGACGCGGTAGTCGATGTCAGAAACGGCGAAGCAACGTTCAATATCCTTGAAAGCGTTGTACCGATTGCGTCAGGCGCATCAAGCCGGCTAAACAGAAAATCCATAGTCTTTTTTATGAATTCGCCAATCACCTGAAATCAAAGGGGTTCTTGCAGACCATCGAAAGCCAATAAATCAGGGAAGTCCGTTCGAGAAGATGGAATGGCACCCGACCGGCCAAGTCTGCCCGGTTATAGGCCTCCAGCGCATTGATGAGGAGAATTAGATAAGTGATCTAAGCCCACCATAATCGATAGCTTGAAGTCAATACCTGATGGGGGAAAAACTTCAAGACGAATTTGTAGCCTCGGATTTTGATGAGCGTGTCGAGAAGCACAAGTGCGAAGCCCGACGTTCGACTCAATCTAAAGAGCTGATTTCTTCGGGCAGCATGAAAAAACCCGTACCCTCGTCCATCCTCGGGCGATGATTGCAAATCCACCAGGCTCGTCAAATGTTCAACAGTAGGAGGGATGAGGGGGTCCAAAAGGCTCGGTTGTTCCGCATAAACTTCGAGCAACTGCTTGAACCTTTCATGTAATTTCTAAATTCGATAGCTGAAATGTGTTAGCGTATAAAACCTCATGCTCTTCATGGCTCCCGGAGCCGACCCTCTGAATGATTGCTTCCAATTCAGCGCGATGGTACGGCGATAGATGAGAGGGCAAACAGCCGATCACACCTTCCTCATCTATATTTTTACAGATTTCGGCTTTTTAGCAAAGGTACACACCATCATTCTGATCGACTTCCATACTCTTTGAACTACTTTCTTCAACAACGTTCATTACTTCCCGCATAACTAAATGAAATCGTAAATATTGCTGATAATCTCTAGAAATTTAGAAGCATAGAAGCGAACAAACGCCGTACCAAGTGATGGATTCCGTGATGAAGTCCAAAATTTATTTCCAAGAGATCAATGGTAAATTGGTGAACAATGTGGAATAACAAGGTGTTCCGTATTGAGATGCGAACAAAATCAAGAGTGCACCGGGGTAATCATATAAAAGGGGGAAATCGTCGGCAATTTTGAGCTAGTTATTCTTCGACGCGGATCTTCTTGGCCTGGTCGTTAAAGTCGTTCAACTGGTCCTCATCGACGAGCTTACGTTTGCGATCGGTTTCTTCTTCTGCGGGAGTTTCGTTTGGCTTGGCGCCGCTGTCTTGGTCCACCTGAAAAATGCATTCAATTTAGAGACGCCGAGAAAAACTGTGTACCTTATGCTCATCCGCTTTGAGGGTGTCGTCGTTGATGATGATCACGTTAAAATTGAGGTCCTGCGAGAAATCATCCACGACCACCACTTTTCCGTCGAAGAATCCGATGTCGTGAAGCAATTTGGCTTCCATACCTAAATGAAAATTGTTTCAAATCTAGATAATGTTACCCGAGTTGTCATCGTCCTCATCGGCGCTGAAAACGATGCTCGAATCCACCATAACCTCTGGCTGTTGAACCGAGAAGCCGACTTTCAATACCTACGCCAATTCAATATTCGAGGCCTCTAGTACTCACCTTATCAACAAAAAGCCGCAGCGTCATAATTTTTGTATTGACGCGGACGAAGACCTCGCGTTTGTCCGTCGAACAGACGAAGCAACCCTTTTTGGGTGGATATGGACCGTCGGTGGCCTAAAAAACAAAGACTCGAATGTTTCCAGAACGCGTACCAGGATATGACCACGGGCGCCGACCTCCTTCCTGACAAAAACGTTTTTCACGCGATCCTGCTTTTTGTATAGTACCTAAACGACAGAATTGACTATACTAAATGTATTTATACCTTCAGCAATTCTCCAATGGCCATGCCAGCCACAATAGCGTTAGTTGTAGCAATGGCTGGGATGATGTTTCCGGCATCGGCTAAAAAATTGAAATTAAAGCTAAAGCATTCAACGATCAAACTCACATTTGATATCAAACAGCGACTTTCCAGGGATGCCAAAGATATGGGCACGGATGTTAGCAGCAGCGGCGACAAAGTGCATCGCGTCCGTGTCATCCTAAAAATATAAACTAAATAGTAATAAATGCAAAAAAAAATAAATTGAATAGGAAATTAGCGCGGAAATAAGCACCTTGTCCCAAACGAGCAATTCACCCTCCGGCAGCAACCGCATGCGATCTTTCAACCGACTGACAGCCTCGTTGAAGACATTGGCACATGCAGACATAGTCCACTGCTTTGTCACGTTGGTCAATTCGTCAGTCATCTCTGTGCTGCCACCACCAAAGTCTCCACTCGTAGCGTTGGACCAGCTAAAATGCATATCATAAGAACTTGGCTTCAGTCAAGGCTTACTCTAATGGCTTCGGGGCTCGACGTGTCTTCCAAAGGTCCTTCATCAAAAGTAGGTAGCTGATGTCATCGTGGAAGAGCTAAAAATAAGCCTTAGGAATGGATTTAGCCAGCCGTACCTTGTTGAAAATCATTTTAGCGTCGTAATCGTGCATCTCGGCCCACTGACGTGTATTGGGCAGTTCAGGGCGAGCTTCGCTGTCGTTATTCGAGGTTCCGTTAGCGCCGTTTGCCTAAAATATTCAGATGGCAAAAATGGGGGACAAACATGATTTTCTTTGCCGGCCTCAGTTCCGTTGGTTTGATTCTCCGGGTCCTGGAAATCGGGAGAAACATCATCGTCGATATCCATTTCGCCGAACAGCTGGCTGGAAAATATTTTTGGCAAAAAAGTGGAAGCGACCTACTTGAAACAATGTTTGCTCCAAACGGTGCAATGGATGTGTTCGCTGGGGGTGTTACGGATTGTGCAACTAAATAGAATAAAAACAAATTCATTCGACAAACCCAGGGAAGGTCTTCTGAACCGGTTTCTGCACGCACTCGTAGCATTCCGTCTGGCCCTTTAGGATTACAGCGGTCTGAAAAGAAATTTACTTCCAAACAACTTTTTGCACCTGTCCAAGATATCCAGCGGAACCACTTTCAATCAGAGGCACATCGGCCGAAAGACAGAGGCGATTTACATGGCTTCTCGCCGCTGAAAAAAATTGCTTCTAGCCAAAGAAACGTACCTCGATTATCTAGAGCATTGACGACAGCGTCAAATCCCTTGAAGAACTGGACCCCGTATTTTTCGCCACTAGAAATAGACATTATTATTCGAAAAGCCGTACGTACTTGAAAATCGAATCGTGATCATATGTGATGTTGACATCCGGCTGAAGATTCTTGACGCTGGCCGCAGCCACCTAAAGGGCGTCTATATTCCAAAAATAACTCATTACCTCGGCCTTTGCCTTTGACACATGTTCACGCCGGAACAGAAATTGTCGGTTGAGATTGGAGACATCAATAGTGTCAAGGTCGATCTGTAGCAGATTTTTGCAATTTCAAATATTATTATACCCACCGTATGAATATTTTTGACGCCGGTTAACACTAGATCTTTAAGCAGCTCACACCCGATTCCTCCAGCTCCCACGACGAGAACTTTCTTGTCAGCCAGATCCCGTTCGAGCCGCTCGCGTATACCCATTTCAGTTCTGGAACGGCTGATTAGCGGGATGCTAAGGACTGTCAACAAGAAACATCTAATTTGTGCAAATCTGATTTCGAATCCTAGGAGGAAGTAGAAAAATGTAAAAATAAAATCGAAAATGTTGAAATCCGGTCGCACACGCGAGGTAATTCCTCTTCTATTTTGACGCGACGCGGCCGCGGATGCATGGCGGTTTAGCCGAAAGTAGGCCCGGGGGTACAAAGGTTGTAGAAGAAGCGGAAGTCTTACATTGGAGCTGGCACTAAATGATGATTCAGAAATAGCAAATGTGATGTGGCAAATTGGTCTTAACGCCCTAAAAGTGTCATAACGCCGCTATAAACCCAATCAGAGTCGCGATAGAGAAATTCTTGGCGTGAAATGAGCTAAATTGTAAACTATTCATGTTTTTTGAAATTTTGGGGGGGCCCCCTAAAAACCCCTTTTTTTTGGGGGGTACGCCATGAATCCCGGGTTGGGGTTTTTCTCTAGGGGAACCGGGGGGGGGATGGGATGGAAGGGGGGGGGAGGGGGGGGGGGGGGGGCCGGGCCCCCGGGGAGAAAGACCCCGGCGGGGGGGGTTTGGGGGGAAGACAAGTAAACAAAGGAAGTAAGAAGAAATAAATAAATTTTATATATATATTTTTATTTTTTTTTTAAAAAATAAAAATAAAAAAAAGGTTGTATTAAAAAGGGCGGAGGGAAGGGAGGGGGAGGGGGTGGGTTTTTTGTTATTTTTTTTTGGTGTTGGTGGTAGGGTAGGATTTTTTTTTTTTTTTTTTTTTTTTTTTTTTTTTTTTTTTTTTTGTTTTTTTTTGTTTTTGGGAAATTGGAGGGGGGGGGGGGGGGGGTAAAAGGGGGGGGGGGGTTGGGGTTTTTTGTTGTGTAGAAATTTTATGTTTATTATTTTTTTATTAATTATAAAAATAATTATTTGGGTTTTTGGGGTTTTTGGGTTTTTTGGGGCCCTTAAAAAACAAAGGGGTTTTCTATTTTTTTTTTTTTTTTTTTTTTTTTTTTTTTATATTATTAATTGTGGGATTTTTTTTTTTTTTTTTTTTTTTTTTTTTTTTTTTTTTTTTTTTTTTTTTTTTGGTTTTTTGGTTTTATTTTTTATTTTTTTTTATTTATTATTATTTTAAAAAAAAAAAAAAAAAAAAGGAGGGAGGGGAAAAAAGGGAAAAAAAAAAAAAAAAAAAAAAAAGGAAACAAAAGGTAACCAAAACAAACCAACACCCCCCCCATCCCCCGGTAGGGGGCCGGGGGCCCGGCTGGGCCCCCCCGGGGCCCCCGTGGCCCGGGGGGGGGGGCGGGACGGGCGGGGCCCCCCGCGGGGGGGGGGGGGGGGGGGGGGCGCCGGGGGGGGGGGGGGGGAAAGGGGGGGAACGCCCGGGGGCAACGGGGGGGAGCCGCGCGGTCGGCCCGGTTTGTGAGCAAAAGAACATATATAACCTTAATTGCCTAGTTTATCGGGCTCGGCCCCTGGACGGAATTTTACTCTATTAAAACGAGTGCTCTTTTGGTCCCTTCTAAGATATTTATTTCCACTTTTCAATTGGAATTTTACTAAAAGCCATCGAGATCAGACAATCCACATTTTTCAAGGCTCGTCAATTTGCGCGTATTGAAATCCCGGGCCAAAGAGTTCCATCAATTGCCGCTAAAAAAACAATGGGAGCGGAACAACCGGGGCTCCTACTACTGTAGGCGCGTAATTTCAGAAGAGTTCGGCTGTGGCCCGGTGAAAAGTCTAACGAGCCGATTGTCTGCTGTGGAGAGAACACGTTCCTCCCTTCCTCAAAGAATAGTGCAATTTTGAGCTTTATTATGGTTCAAATTCCTGATTCTTTTTGGGAAAAATTGGACAGAATTTTTTTTCTGTTTGAGCTTTTCCCCCTTGATAAATAAATATCTTGAAAGCAAACTGGATTTTCGGGCTATGGAAGTGTCACTTGCTGACGAATGGCGGGGATCGTTGTAGCCATAGGGACTTTTGAATCTTTTGGGGGTCTATTGTTTGCGGGTTCGTTTGATAATATATTTCCGATTTTGAAGTGACAGGTCAATAAAACTACAGGCTATCAGTAAAGTAGAAACAAAACAAAATCTGGCTTGCCTTGACCCGGATCGGGGTAACAAAAGATACGAAATTTTCATAGAACGTTTTAATTTACTATTTAGTATTTTTAATTTAGTATCTATTTAGTAAAAAGCCTTTTCTGAGAGCATTTCGATAAAAATGGGCCTTCTAGCAAGAAAAAATCGAAAAACACTTTACACCGTCCGTGGACAGTTAGGTGTACAGTGGAATGCTTTGTACAGCTCGATTATGTTCCTAAAAGTCGATTTTCGTGTCGAAAACACGGGCGTGTTTTTAGCCCTCAAACACAACGAGTCACCAACGGGCAACACCTGTTTACACTCCGTAATCGATTTCCCAAACCCAATCAATTGTAACTAAAAACTTAGAGACTCTAGGTTAGAGTTATTAAGATAGTAGAAACGAAAGAAGCAAGTTCTAGAAAAGATACTGACGTGAAACGAGTATATTTTGCCAGCTTCCGGCGCAAAGACCATTTTGCTGACCCGTTGCTCATGAGTGACGAATAAGGATCGTATAATCATGATGAAGGACTTTCAAAAGAGAGCCGCCAGATGTTGTAAAATCTTATGGAAGCTATGCACTTTGCTGATTGATGCTCTGCAAAAAGCCGAGCGTCGTCGGGAGTTTAAAAATGATGTGGCACTCGAGCATGCGCAAAACACTGTTAATGATAGGGCCATTGTAAAGTGGTTATCTGATTTTGTTTCTTCGGCTACCGTTGCTCCTTCAGTTCGACATATCCAGACCCTTCTATCTATTTTCCTATCTATCCTTTATAATGAGATATTTGGGTAATTCGCAAAAGATTCGCGAGCATTGGATGTACTAGGGTTTACCAACCGTAAATGCTAGCAAAAATTAAATAGAACCTCTTGGTGACTATATAAGAAGCTTTTTCGCATTAGAACAGATATTAATATTCGTTACTTTTGTTGCCTCCTCCCTCGTTCCTTTTTGCTATCCGTAAAATTGGTGAAGATGGTCGAATCACGCAAAATGATAAAAATTTCGCGTCAGTAGCGGAAGTATCATTACCAAATCAGTTCTAGAACTATGTTTTTCGTTTATTATAATAAAAAATAACCCTTAGAAGTTTATTAGTTACAATTAATTAGGTTTTGGAAATCGATTACGAAGTGTAAACAGGTGTTACCCGTTGGTGACTCGTTGTGTTTGAGGGCTAAAAACACGCCCGTGTCGAAAACACTATTTTGGGTGTATTTTAGATAACAAGGCTCTTTATGGTATTCTCAAAAGTTTATACTTTAAAAAAATATCACTAACAGATCAAATTCACAGAAGAAAAGTTCGAAAAATGCAATGAATTTGTTCCGGGGTAGCATTGGCAAAGAAACACAAAAGAGAGAGAGAGAGAGCGAAATAATAAAGCGAACGGCATTTGAGAGACATGCACATATCATTTTGGCATTTGGGAGGGCAATTTTGTTGCGGGGCGTTTTTGGTCTATTAGCTGCAGTGGCGGAAAAGTACATAGATATCCTACCTTATATAATTTTGGCGTGTACAGGGTGTCCCAAAAAAAAAGACCCCCCCAAAAATTTGAGCCAGAGGGCACCTACGGAGCTGAAAATTTGCACAGAGGTAGCGAAGGCAATTTTCTATGAACAAGGTAAGTTTCAGCCCGATCGGCCAGTGGGTTTTAAAGTTATAGCGAAAATACTTTTCATTTTTATTTTAATATGGGGATCTATGTAATTTGCATCAAAAATATGCGTTATTTTTGCATTTACGAGCTGATTTTGCATAAATTTTGCCGAAAAATGCCATTTGCTTCTTTGGGCTGTAGAAAAACGATTGCTCGTGGAGAGAAAAAAATGGTTCGCAAGACCGCGGAACACAAGGCGCATTGACGGAAACTATCGTTGGACGCTAGAACTCAGCTTAGACTTCGGCGTAAGCGTCAACCCAAGCCAAAAACTGAACCTAAGCAGTACTTAGGAGCTCATCAAACTCTGCTTCGGTTCCGACAGGGTCATAGTGGCAAAATGTCCCATAAAATAAGATTTGGACCCGGGAAACAAACGTTTTCACATTCTTTTTGCTCTTCATGCTCGATCGTCCTCACCGAGATCCAGTGAGCAAATGGCATTTTTCGACAAAATTTATGCAAAATCGGCTCGTAAATGCCAAAATAACGCATATTTTTGATGCAAATTACATAGCTCCCCATATTAAAATCAAAATCAAAAGTATTTTCGCTATAACTTTAAAACCCGCTGGACGATCGGGCTGAAACTTCCCTTGTTCATAGAAAATTGCCTTCGCTACCTCTGTGCAAATTTTCAGCCCCGTAGGTGCCCCTCTGATTCAAATTTTTGGGGGGGTCTTTTTTTTTGGGACACCCTGTATCTTTGTGTGTGTGTGTGTGGATGTCAGTTTCGAGCCCCGATTTGAGGGCCTTTCGGTGGATAAAATGCCTTAATTCTCCGTCACCCGGGGGAATCGACCCTTCTGTTTCCGATGGCGTCCTCAGAATTTTGATAAGATACAAGTTTACAAAGTTAAAGCCGGTTTTATTGATTTTTGGGGGCCCGGGAGGGCTAATTTGCATAATGTGAAAAAATAGAAATGTCCTCATTCTTACGAGTAGCAAGCGCGCGTGTGGTCGGTGGGGGGTCCGCAGGACCCGAGCTATCGCAAAGTCAAATTTGTCATGCAGCGGCCGCAATCCAGCGGCCAAGGCCCGCGAAGCGGGTTTTGGGCGCTGGTAAATAATGATACTGATAGTCATAATAATATGCGGGGTTCTGTCATTACCTCGAAAATCAAGCTCTCGAAAGTTCAATATCTCGAAAATCAACATCTCGAAAGTTCATTACCTCGAAAATTTCACTGTGTTAAAGTGCATCCGAAATCAAGAAAATGCATGGTAAAACCAGTATGAAATTTTCGAGATAATGACTTTCGAGATAATGAACTTTCGAGATAATGTTGAGAAGTTCGGGCGCGTTGATTTTCGAGATAATGAACTTTCGAGATGATGTTAGGTAATCATAATATGCATCTATTACAGGCTGGTGATATCGGATAGCATGGGCGGATATGTGCGTGGGTTGTCTCACCCACGTCTGATATAAAAAGGATGTTTCAATCAACAATTTGGCGGCGGTAGATGGGTGGCGATTTCTGGGTGTGCAGAGAAGGGTTGAAATCGCCTACACCGGTCAGATATATTCAGAAAAAAAGAGGGGGAAAGGAAGGAATGTCAAAGTGTTGGCCTAGAATTTTTGGGTCAATCTCGCGCCAAAATGTTTGGAAAGGTTAGGAATTATCAAAGCATTTGCGATTTGGTGACAATTGGAGCCCGACGTCGCTACATTCCGCTAGGTGGGACTCCAATGAACGCCTGTAAACCGTGCGCTTCTAGGAATTCCTCGTTTTCAGGGTTTCTCTTTTTGGCACGCGACTGTCCCTTTAAAAAGTTTGGGACGCGGAAGTTTTTTTGTACATTTCTAGCGTTAAATTGAAACTTTTTGAGTTTAACCAAAAGGTGAGACATTTCCAACTTCCCAACCCTTTTTTAGTTCACAAAATCAGATCATCACAAAAAAAATTTTGAAACTTTTCACATGGGTTGCGCTTGCTGGAATTGTGCCAACAGCTGGGCGAGTTGAAGAGGGCTGCCAAACATGCGGCCGGCAAACAGGGGCGGAAGCTCGGGCAGCTTCTCCTTTAAACGGGCACGATTAGACTTTGGTTTATTTTTGGGGTTTTTATGTGTTTTTTCTTTGTTTGTGACCTACCTGCTCAGCGGGGGATTGTGCTTGGGGCTCGGGCCTTGGTTGGGTCGGCTCGGCGGACGAGGGCTTTTCCTCGTCGACGTCGATGGGGGCTTCTTGGGGCTGTTCGGTTGGCTCTTCCTTGACGGTCTGTTCAGCCACTGCAGGGGCAGGGCTGATCGGCGAGATTTGCTTGGGGGCTGCGAGTCGGGGTGCCTGAAGTAACGTTCATTTTAGCATTTCAGAACTTGTTAAAGATTCTGAGTTCTATGATTAACCGAAATAAAGCTAAAATTTTACACATGATATCATATTCGAAAATCATAGGTATCTTTATCTGAGCAAACTCGTCTAAATAAGTGTTTTTTTTGTACTGCTGCTTCTAACTTTAAAAAAAGTTTTTAACAATATTTTCGATTCGCTATCGTCTATTATATTTTTTAGCTTTTTAGTAAAGTGTAAAATAAGTTTATTTTCTAATTTCCGAAAAGCTGACCTCAAAATTTGGCATCATGCCGAGCTGGAGGAATGGGTTTCCGAGGAGTCCCGGTGGGAATGCGGGCTGGGTTGGCAGGAATGGGGGAAGACGGCCCATTTGGAATTGTTGCAGTATGTCGAGGAATATGCTGAAAATCACGGTCTTGTATTTTCAGGCATGCTAGCAAAGAAAATTTAGGAAAAGAAAGCAGCCCTTACCTGCTATGCAATTGTGGCTGAGGCTCGGGCGGTTGCATCGATTTCTGGAGCTGCTCCAAGTTCCTGAGCGTCAAGTCCAGCGGGCTCTCGGGGTCGGAGTTGAACTGGAAATTGTGTTTTAATAAATTAACGTTGATAATGATTATATTAAAGCCTTAAATAGTATTTTATTACCTGCGGGAGATTAGGTATCTGAGGCGTGACCATTGACAGCGGCGTGTCTACCGCTTTTTGCGCCGATTTTACGGGACCGCTGGGGGATTGCATCTGAAAGCCCGGGGCTTGATTCAGGTGGTTGTTGGCAAATGGTTTCTGCTAGCTTGCCTGGGTCAGGCAATGTCCCGAATTCCCCAAAAATCTCTGCTCGCCCACCTTGATGCCCTTTCGGGCCAACTTTTGCTGGTAGGCGATGGGGCATCCGGACAGGGAGCGATGGGATGTTCGATTGCTAAAAATGGAGGGTAAGAGTTACAGTTACACTATACGTCTTATTTACGATTTTTCTATATTCGACGTCAAATTTCAATTTATCGACATTTGAATTTCCGATTATTCATGTTGTCGACGTTTCAAATTGTCGAAATCATAGTGACGACGTCGCTATTTTCTGGCAGTAACAGATCGGTCTGATGCAAGATCTTCGACATATTTAAATTTCGACAAACTGAAATATCGAAATACCGCAAAACAATTTTCGAAAAATTGAATTTCGACATTCCTAAGCTGAATTCCGCTACACACCTATTGACATGTCCCTTTCCTGTACAGCCGGGCGTCTGGCAACGGAGTACGGTGTCTTGGCCGAGGGCGAGTACTGAAATCGACATTTTAAAGGGGTTAGGACACGAGACTAACGATTTTCTATATCCCTTTTCCCTCAGTTTCCAATTCCTAAATTAACACTGGGAATGCAAAGTCCGTCGTATTCTTGGAATGGGGGTCCCGGAGGGATTTGACGAAGTATTTGTTTTTCAGCCGGGCTGAGTATCATTTTCGGGCGAGGGGGGAGGGGAGATGATGGTTTTGCCGAGGGTCCTTTGCTGGGTACGGGCGGCTACGAAAAACAACTTTTCGGGGGGCTGGGGTACGGTAGCGGAGAGCAGAGGAGAAGCTGCGGAAAGGGGGGAAGGGGGCGTGGCCTATCCGGGGTGGAAACTTTGTCATTGGATGTTCGGGAAGTTTTTGGTAAACTCGTGAAATTGGCGAATCGGCCAAGCTTTTTAGAAGTGAAAATTATTGGGTAAAACAACTTTTGTAAAAACAGGCTAGCAGAGGTTTTTAGGAAATAAAATATCAAGTTCGGATAGATTTTTCCAGGCAAGCTAGCCGAAAAATCCCCCGGTCTGTCCAAGTTTCAAGGCAGGCTAGCAGAGATCCTTTAGGCACAGATTCTTTAGGAAATCGGAGGATTCTCGTATGATTGAATTGTGCCCGTTCAAAGTGTTCAAACGGAAGTTCCACTTTCCTTCCCCCGATCCCCTCCAGGGGGCACACTTTAGGGGTCCGGGAAAATCTGCCGGCAGCTGGCTGATCGTTTGGGTCAATTCGGGGGTGAGAAGGATGGGTGCGGGGTGGACGGATTTGAAAATGCCCATTTGTCCATCAGCCGCAATGGGGAGTGATTGAGTTTTTCAGAAATCTTCAAATTGCTAACTACTGTTTGAAGTGAAACTCTGGAGTTTTTGGCAGTTTAACTGTACACGTCGTGTAATTCGGTGCACGCTAAATTTTCCGCTACAGTCCTTTGCACAGTCAAAATCACGTCCCAAGTAGATGTCACACTTTTTAAAGCCAAATTTTAACTAGGAAGCTGCGGTAATTTAATCGCATACACCATGCCATTCAGAATACGCCTCATATTCCGCTGTACTCCTCTGAACGCTATAATAACCCGGAATTCGTTATCGCACTTTTGAAATTTAACGGTCTTTTTCGTAGTTGATCTATACACGCCATGCAATTCGCCTATAATCCGCCTATAGCGACTATTTTCCGATACACTCCTATTGCCATTTTCCCTCAATTCGATACTTTAGTTATTTCCCCTTCCCCCGGTCCCGTCGGGAATCCCGCGTGGTGAACCTCTACAGCTGGATATGCAAAGTGCACGAGTACTGCCTGTGTCGATAGTACTCTCGCGGAAAAAGTTGAGGACATCGGGGAAGTGTGGCGGTTTTTCGGGTAAAACAAAGGGGTCGGCTGGTCACAGCTGGGGGTCACAAATTTTTCTTCATGGGTTGAGGGCAGGCTAGCAGAGGGAATTTGAGGAAATTCTGGAATAGCAGGGCAGCCTGGCAAACGCCATTTGCACAAATTCTCCAATTTTAAAGGGCTGCCGACGGCATGTGTCGATCCCCCCCTCATCAACAAATTGGCAAGTAGCCAACAGGGCAGAGAGCGCGCACCGGGGAGAGGCGCAGAGACATTTTCTTTCCAGCGCGTAACCGATTGGCTATGCCGTCGGCATCCCTTTAAGGGCAGGCCAGCCGTAGTCATTTGCGGAATTCCGTGATTACAAGGCGACCTAGCCGTCAGGATTTGACGAATTTCATTAATTACAGGGAAAAAGCTAGCAGGGGTAATTTGGGGGAAATTCTCGGATTACGATGGCAGACTAGCATCGTCCATTTGCGCAAATTCTCGAATTCCACGGGCAAACTAGCAGAGACCATTGACGGTAATTTTTACACCCCTTTAAAACGCACCCCGTCCTCTTGTTACTGCCCGAGAAAGTGAATTCAAAATGGAACTCTCTCCCCCTAGTGTGGTTCACCCAATTTGCATGTTGGTCCCCCCTTGACTGGCCGGTCAGAGCCGTGAGTCGACAGGTGGCCCTCTTTTTTTCGGGTTTCCCCCTGCTCTCTCTCTCTCTCTCTCTCTCTCTCGCCAACCCAACAACGAACCTAATTCCCAATGCGGATTTACCCGGCTGACTTTCTCCCCCCGTTGAATGCCATTTCAGGGGAAAGTTTGGGCTGGGGTGTACGGTAGCCGGTGTGGCTTTCCGAAAAGCGACTTTCGACAGAGTTCCAGGTGCCCTAAAAAGTACCCAGATTACAGTACCCACCCCCCAAAAGGACACCGTCACAGCGGGCGCCCGGATTTCGCGCCATGCGATCTGGGAGATGATAGACAGGCCATAGAGAGAGACTTCATGAAAAGCTCGCCGCCCCTGGGTGTGCACCTGGCTGGGGGAGTTGTTGCGCCATTTTGGGGTGGTAATTAGTGGAGTGGTGGGAGCCGAGAGTTGACTTTCGGTAAATGGTCTCTGCTAGTTTTCCAGGGTTGGAGCTCCGGTGTCCGCAAAGGGTTTGTGCTAGATTGCCCTCATCAAAACCGATTTCTAGTCAGGGTTTCTGCTAGTTTTAGACCGAAGACCGGTAGACCCGAAGGTCGGATTTCAACAAAAAATTCGCTGCTAGCTTACCCTCCTGAAAACCCAAATTCCGCAAATGGTCTCTGCTAGCTTGCCGAACCGGATGACTTTTCTTGGCTGTTTGATAACTTTTAAGGGAGATGGTCGAAAACCTCGCGTTTTCTTGAAGAATCTCTGCTAGCTGGCCAGTTCTAGGTTAGAGTACTGTAAAAAAAACAATTTTTTTAGTTTCTGCAAAGATCGCTGCCAGCCTGCTCTTTCCGCAATCCGTCTCTGCTAGATTGCCTCTAGCTTGTCACCAATTCCTAAAAATCTCTGCCAGCCAGCCCCACCTTTCGATCCCTTTAAAAAGCCCCGTATTCAAATGAGGGCTAGGCCGAGTGAGTGAGTGGTTGGAGTGCATTAGAGGGGGAGACCATGTTAGGGCTGTGACTGCAGAAAGGGGAGTAAAGACGACAGATGTGCGACAGACAGAGAGACATACAGACAGACGGACAGAGAAAGAGAGACAGACAGACACAGTCAACTTTTTGCCTCCCTAAGGGGGTTTGGCCCCGACATATGGTGTATGCATGGAGAGACCCTTCAGGAGAGCCTAAAAAGGGGAAAGAAATCGGATATCGGGTTAGAGGACGGGCTTGGTGATATAATTGGTAAACTTAGATTGGAGGGTGGGATAGCAAAGATTCTTTAGGAGAAGGCAGGCTAGCAGAGACCTTTTAGGAGGGTAGGCTAGCAGAAATCCTTTAGAATCCCAGCCCCTCAAAAAAACTTATAATGTTGACTACGATCTCCCGTCAGCCGATAGCATCTCTGGTACATGAGAGCGAGGTAGGGGTGATAATTACCGTAACGAGATCCGAGAGAGAGAGAGAGAGAGAGAGAGAGAGAGAGAGAGAGAGAATGAGAGAAATGGGAACATAACAGGTGAGAGAAAAGTTTGGCACCCCGGCGGAGGCAATCTGGCTGAAGTGTGACAGTCTGGGAATATGAATCTTCCATCTGGTCTTTTTGGGCACTTCTAATTTGGAGAGCGATTAATGGCAGTGCGCCAGGTTTGACTTTCCTAAATTGGCTCTGCTAGCGTGCCCTTGTGGCTAGCTAGCGGACCATTAGTGCTCTTTCCCGGTCATTAGGGCTCATACAAATGATCTCTGCTAGTTTGCCCCAGTGGCAGACTAAATTTAAATTGCTTATTTTTATAGTGTGATCGCCTCAAAGGGTCTTTGCTAACCAGCCCAAAAATTTTCATGCTGCTAGCGTTCCATGATTTCTCCAATGATCTCTGCTAGTTTGCCATTTCAGCTTTACGGTAAAGCCTTTACCTTATAGTTAATTAAGTTATAAATTTAAATTAATTTAGTTCCTCCATTTTCCTAAGAATCTCGGCCAGCTTGCCCTGTCTCGGCTGGCACGCTTCCTTGAGACCTGTATATTTCCAAAGCCCCTTAATCCCCCGTGTGAATCCCTGGATGCCCCAAGATCCCATATCTGGATGACCCCCAAATTAGTGCATTTGGGCGTATTATTCGGGTTTCCGGGGACGGGAGAGGGAGGCTTTTTTCGGGGCTTATATTGGGACACCTGTGGGCCCCCTGGTCATCATAGACAGGGGTCATTAGCATCCCCTTTTTCAGCCCGAAGCGGGGAGAGTTCTCAATTCGAGACAATAGCCCCGTTTTTACGAGGCTATTTTTTGGGCAAATATACAACTTTCCAGGGGGATCACTTTGTTCCCCCCACGAAGGGCCAGCGAATATACTTGCAAACAATGCACGCGCCAGGGGGGAATTGGCTGAAATTCCGGCCGGGATTCCCCACTTTCCACTTTACACACCGGGCCCCCGCAAAACTTGTGGAACAAAAATAGACTGTACGACTTTTAGGTGTCGTAATTTTAGATAGTTTTCGAGCTAGACGATACTAATCGACAAATTAGCCGCTTTTTAAAGGCTAAAATAGCAATTTGAAAAGGTTATTCAGACAAAAAAGATTAAGCTAGCAGTTTTCTGGAAACGAATTTGGAAATTTGGGGTGATAACGGAATTTTCTATATTGTTGGATTTAAAATCGCGTGGCTAAGTGGTAAGCATCGAGAACTGACGCCCAGAGCTCGCAGGTTCGATTCCCGCCCCGGTTTTACTTTTTGCTTTTTGATTTGGTTTGAGCTTTGCTTTCGATATAAAGCTCAAAATGCAAAAACTTCGTAAAAATCCCGCTTCCAAAAACCTAAAGTCGAAGAAACCCTGAAACTAAATATCACTCCAGATACCGTACCCCTACAAGTTCTCGTCCAGTTCCCGGGGGGTTGCATTTACGAGGGGAAAGTGTGTGGCCGTTGTGAGGTGGGGCACTTTGTCAACGAGCTGTTGTGTCCATAGATGGCAAAACGGCAGCCGGCAATTCGAGTCCCACCAGGTGTCATGCATTTCTGCACATACACCACCCACTTCCACAGCCCAAGAAGGACGAGAAGTGACAAAGTGCCGGATCGGATTGCCGCGGAATTGGGGAGAAGTGCATTTACGGAAGTTGCAAAGTTGCCGTTTCCTTTAGGAGGTTTTTAAAGGGTCCCGCAAGGCAATTGTGCCGCGTAGCTAGCGCCACCCAGCGAAGGGAAGGGGTCGCTTTTTAGCTCTTTATTTGCGTTTTAAACCCCTAAAAACGTACGCTGTATGGTATTCTTGTCCGGGCGACGCGGGCATCCAGACAACGATCGGTGGTGGGTGTACAGTCCCGTCTGATGGCCACTCCCATCGCACCCGGGTGTCGGACACGACAGTTTATTCGCGTCGGAGCCTGAAATTATGGGTTTTATGAGGTTTTCAATACGCTCCAAAAGCCGAGGCTGAGGCAGGTAATTTCAAAAAGCTCCGTCCGCATGTGCAAAGGCGTTCGGCGTACAGGGCCCCGCTTCTTGGGCAGTTAAGGGATTTCTGGCACTTATAGGTCCTTTAAAACTCTACAAAAATACCGACCTCGATTTCGGGTCCAATTCGGGATGGCTGATGGGGACAGGTTGGCGGGTGGAGGGGAGAAGGTCGGCAAGACTCCGGCAGGCAGCTCCATTCCGCGCGCGGAGGGTGTCGATGGGTGCGTCGGGGAATCGGAACGGCTCGTCGGGGTTTGGGCCGGTGAGGGGCTTCTGAAAGTTTTCCTAGCTAAAAGTTTGAGAAGGACTAATTCGGAGAGTCTCAATGACGCCAAAGTTTAGAAAATTAAGAAAACGTGAAAAACTTACCGCTCCAACTCGCCCAAAATGTCGCCCTTCTCCGGTGTGGTCTGCTCGACCTCGACGGCCTCTTCCACGGATCCTACTCCCTCCTGCACCGGGGTCAGCTGCGGGATGACGTCGTCTTGAAGGCGTACAATGTCCTTGGCTAAAAATATAGTTTTATTCATCGGTTGATGAAGCTTGGAGTACGACAAGTAGAAAAAAACTAGTTTTTCTTAGCTATATCACAATTTTCTCACGGACATCTTTAGCTACTCACCGCCCTTTTTATGTAAATCTTACGCATAAATCTGTAGTTTTTCGGTTTAGCTCATAAGTTTAAAAAAAACAAGGTGTTTATCAAAATTTTCTCACGGACGCGCCAACAGCCTCAGCGGGATTTTTCTATGCAAATTTCATGCATAAATCACCGGTTTTTGGGGCTGACATTGGCCCAGCCGAGTTGATAAGCTTTAAAAAACCATAGCCATCCAAAAAAATGAGTTTTGAAAGGGGCAAAAAGCTTTAAAAACCCTATACCCTAAAAAACCACCGCAAATCGATGGAGTAACAGTAATCAGTGAGGGGTAACAACCCGGGGGGATTGGGTCAAATATGGGCCTCCTTGGGGCCCAGGGGGGACGATTGTGTTGTGCCGAAGCCGGGGGATTTGCTGAGAGATTCCAGCGGATCGCGCTCAAATCCGATTAATCTGCATAAACTCGAGACTCGGCTATTCCAAGCTGCCCGTAGTGGCTGGGGACGGGAGCAAGATTTGCGAAAGTTTGCGCGGTGTGGCGGCTAATTAAAAGTTGGATGGTTTGGGGGGGATACCCTGGGGAATCTTCTCGTCTGGGTACACACCTCTTAATGGGGGGCGTAAACAATTACTACTCTACGGAAATAACACTGGAAAAATAATATATAACACTTGCTGGGTGGTGTAATCGATTTGTGGAAAAATTTTAAAATACAGAATTTTCTGAGTTTCTTTAGGTCGGCGTAATATTTTTAGCTTTATTTTTAACTTTGCACACTCTAGAGAGTATACATGCTATATCATACTACAATTCGATTTTAAGAATTTTCAAACATAAAATTTTCAACAAATAAAATATAATTTTTATATAGCAGCTATAGTCTATTTTTAACGCTATTTAGAGTTGGTGCCATTCATAAAGTATAATATATCTTTCAAAACATGAAAATACGAATTATTTCGCTAAAATTCGATTAAAATAAAAAATTCCCGTCTCCCCGGCCGCCTCCTACTGCCTGGGTAATTGGTTAACCTCTCGCTCGTCACCCACACCACCGGGGCTCGAACCCCGCCAGCGACACACTTTTTGCTTTTCTCTGAAAGCTATTATTTCCCCACTTCCAACCCAGCTTCAATACTACCCAACCCGGAAACAACCCCAAAGCGCCTCGGCTGCCCGCAAAACTTTTTGTAGCCGGGCCCCGGCGTTTTTCAGTTTCTGCACGCAATTTGTTAGTTCTCGGAATGCGCAAAACAATGCTGCGGGTGCCGCTTTTGGTGGGCTACAAAAATCCGCACACTACTCGCGTCGCTTGACGCACTCCACAAGAATACAAATGGCGTCGTGATGTATGGCGGAGTTGGAAGGAGAGGGCGAGGGCAGGCTAGCGGGAAGTATTTGAGGGAATTTTTGGGATCTTTGTACAAAAAATGAATAAATGGCTCGTAAAATTGGCTAGGCTTCATTTTTCGATTTTACTATATAAAAATAGTGTTTTCTCGGTTCTTTCGCACTATCGGGGGGGGACCGAATTTTTTTAGTAAATCCAGATATACTTTATTAGTTCTTTAGTCAACTTTAGCCATATTTAAAGCGTAAAAATCATTTACAAACTTCGAAAAGCCCTTAAAAATGCAATTTTTGTCGAAAATCGGCGATATTTTATAGAAAAAATCTATTTTTTTGTGGGTTTTTTTATAAAATTTGTAAAGCTTTTACAGAAATACGAAAGTACCTAAACAATAAATAATTTTCAGAGTGAAACATCCCTTTAAAATGGTCCTGCCTAGACAGTTTCCGCTTCAAACCCCCCATTACTTCCGGAATTTTGGGCCCCTACCAAAAGTGAGTCCACCCCCCGGAAAGGTGGCACCGTCGCGTAATTTGTAGCCGCTATTTTACGCGCAACCCCCGGGCCCCGGGGTTATTTGACGTAAATGTCCTAGCTACTATCCACTTTTCCGCCACTTTTTCATGAATCACCAAACAAAATGGCATCACTTTGTCCGGGTCGCATCACTTTCCCCTAGAAATGTGTTTATTTTGATTTGCAAGCTGCGGAGCTTGGGGCGTGAGTTTTGATCGGACTTCGGTCGCTAGGAGTTTTGCATAATTTTCGAGGTCTTAAGTTTTTCGGACTTTTAAACGTGAAACATTTCTCCTCGATTTCAAAGTGGCAAAACTTGAAGATTCAATTTTAATCGGTTTCTAGTAGAAAAGGTATAATACAGAGTTTTGATTTTTTTTACCTTTAGGCATACTTTTTCTATCCGGATTTATTTTCTTCCAAGCTATAACGCTTCAAGGGTGAATTTTGAGAGATTTTCATAGAAAAATGTGTTTTCACTCTCACTAATTTTTAACTTTAAAAACGGCATGTTCGATCCGAAAAATTGCTTCATCTCGCCTTATTTTGATCAGTTTTTAAACGTTTAAAAAGCATTTTATTTCAGAAACGCCACTTCCCCCCCTTCCCCCGAGTTTTGATGCATTTTGGTTTTTTAACTTTTAAGCATTTTTTTATTACAAAGGTCACTTTTTACCCCAGGTTTTCACGTATTTGTAGTTTTTTAAACCTTTACAACATTTTTTCCGATTTGACACTCCTTTTTACGCAGAGTTCAACCCGCCGCATACAAAAACTTGTGCTTTTTCCCCAGCTGCCGTCTCTTTGCGCGGGTGGCGGCCAACTAATGGGCCAACAGTTGGACCGGGGCAAGAAGGCAGATGTACGGTGGCGATAAGTCGTCCACAGGGCGCAATATAGCAAGGACAGATGGGGGAGAAGAGAAGACGGACATACAGACAGACAGAGAGACAAACCGAGAGAGACAGACAAACACGGCAGCTGCATACCGGGACTTATTTCGAATTTCGAACCGGGGGCCCTTGCAAGGCACTTTGCATGGCCGTCAACCTGGGCCAAGGACGGTGTGTGGGGGGTTTTAAAGGCGCGGTGAAGTCAAAATGGTCACCTTCCGGTTTTCTCCTCCGTTTTGCGGGTGGTGGGCCGGTGTCATCAGTGGTCGGGGTGGCCGTTGGGGTTCCCTGGAATTCAGCGTATTGTTTGAAAAGTCAATGGTTGAATAGTAGGGGCATTTCTTGAGCTAACCCATTGTTTAGATGGGCAGGCTATACAAATGATGAATAGGGGGTTAATTTTCAGATTTTCGTATCTACCGGGATTTGGCTAAACGTTAAAAATCAGGGCATGCTAGCAAAGATTTTGAGGAGCTTGATCTGGCTAGAACAGGGCTAAAAGTTCAAATTCTAGATCTTCATACGAAAAGTACAGAGCGAACTAGCAAAGTTTCTTAGGCAATAAAAATAACCTAGGAAGTACAAGCGATAAGTTTAAGCAAAGATTTTTAGGGAAACAGAATAGCCAAATTCAAGCGCGGCAGAAAGGTTTAAAATTAAGAAACCCCGGCGAATCTTCTAGCTATACACCACAGAATTCAGGCATTCTAGCAAAGATTCCAGGAGAATTTTGGGGTATCCTGGCAGTTTTGGTAGCATCAAAAAGTTTGCAAAAGGTGTAAATTCCAGTACACAACCACATTACAGTACCTGGGCGGTGTCGGGCGACTCGGCGCCGGCATCAGAAGCCGTCGAATCGGAGGCGGCCCGTTCGGATGAGGGTGTGGGGAACGAGGGGATATTCTGGAATGCCAACGGCAATCCAGCGCCCAAAAGGCTCAGCCACAGCTCTTGTTGCTGTTGTTGCTGCTGGCAGAGGCCGGACATCGTATGGTGCCTAGAGGTGGGTATACGGTAAGATAGGCGCGGTTTAAAACTTTAAAAACTAGCCATCTACACGGGCAGGCAAAAAAACTGCCGAATTTTTTTAATTTAAACCCAGGAGATATAAAACAATACGAAAAAGCGTTCATAAGAAAAAAGGCAGTAATCTTCGCCAAAAATAGCCCTATAAAAAACTTATTAATACAAAAGTATAGAAATTACCCCCAAAATCTTTGACCATCGGTTAACACCCCCAATTTGCCCAGCCAAAAGCTCAACGCTGACCCCGCTGACTCAAAGGTTACGCAAACACGCACGGCCAAAATTTACGGCCGGATTTGCAATGTTTAGAAGCATAAGCCTAGGGACAGGCCAGCAGAGACAAAGGAATTTGACCAAGCAGGCCTGCTTAAAAAGATCAGCAAAAAGTGCCCAGTCCCGGAACACCGGCAAAAGTTTGGCGTGCAGCTGGGGAAGTGCAAAAAGAGGACAATGGTCCGGCACAGGGCTATTTCTGTTGAGATAAAGATTGCGCGAAAATTTAGTGCAGGAATTTTGGCGTGGAAGTAGAAGTTGAGAAGTTGTAGAAGGTGAGGGCGGAAAGAGCGAGGAATAATCTAATACGGTAAAGTAAATTTAAAAGTTTCGAAGTTACTAAAAAGTTTCGGGAAGAGAAAAGACTTCCTAAAAGTCTAAAGTCAAACCGACAAAACATTGATCATAGGTATTAGCGGAAGGCAAATCTAAAGCGATAAAATCTAGCTAGCTAAGAGTTAGGAAATTTGACAAACTTTCGAAGCACAAGTAAAAAGCCTGCTGAAAAACCCAAGGACAAGGTTTAGAGATATTGATACCTTGAGGTGCATCTATCTAAAATCCAGGAACTAGGAAATTTAAGCAAGTTTGAAAGCGCAAGTAAGCTGCGGGTGAACTCCGAGCAAAAATGCCTCGTTGCGAGCCTCATAATATTCGAGCAGTCCCGCTTAAACCGGAGAGCAATGGGTAGAGGTAGAATCTTAAGGAGCACCTCTTAGCGATAGAATCTAAGAAGTAGAAAAGTTTACAAAGTTTGAAAGCTCGAATAAACTTCGAAAAAACATAGTTTCCAAGAAGTTCAACTACGAGCGCCCCCTTGAAACCACCGTGCCCCGAGGGGCTATGGTAGTGGTTGGAAAGGGGGTGGGGCCGAGAGGAGGGACTAGTGAGAGTTTTGTGGCTGAAGGGGGAGGGCCCGCAGGGGATGGTCGCCCATCTCAAAAGAGGGCGGGGTCTCGCAGGGGGCCTTCAACTCTTCCAATGCTTCCACCAATCGTCTCCACCACATAGAAGAGTAGGAGAAGGGGGAGACCGCCCAAAAGCAGATGGTCATACTTGTCGTGCGGTTCAAGGTGAGCTTGGCGTGGCTCTTGAAAAATTTCCGGTAAATACCTGCGAACGGTAGAATTGCCTTGAGATGGGATTGAAGCTGACCGGCTCGCTTTGAAGCTAAATCCTTGTCCCGACAAATCTAGAAAGTAGTATAAAACTTGTTAAAATTCACCTTTTCTCTTCCTATTTTGCATGAAGCTTTCTACGTAGATTCTGAAGTTACTGAAGAGGCTCGCCGATTCTCCAATACCTAAATCGTGTATAGCTACATAAAACCCCCAAGGTTCAAACAAAACAGTCACTCCTGCCATTTCTTACTTGCCATGTAATTACGTAAAAACCACCCGTCAATTCCCGGAGGTTGACGGTCAACAAAGACAAAGAGAGACATGGGCCAGATGGCTCGGGGGACCCTGAAGGTCCTGGGCCACCCCGCAACACATTCCACCGCCATATTTGCACCCCAATTTTAGGGGGCCCAAGCCGGGGAGCCCCAACACGGCTAGTTGAGATTGATGCGGAGGGCTGCACTGCGTTACCGTAAGACCGTTCACTTCTAGAAACCTAAAACAACTAAATATAAATCGAGAATTCAAGAAAATCGCTTTCAAGCCCTAACAGTCCCATCCGGTGCGATTTCCCCCAAATGAAAGTCACAAAACTAGAACCAGTGACATTTATTCGCAGCTGAGGGCCGAGAAATAAATAACAATTGACGATTATGAGTGGGGCCGGGAGAGAGAGATGAGAGGACGGTGTTAAACAAAACGAAATTTTACGACGCGATCAAATTCGGAGATATCAGGGGGAGTTGGCGAAGGGAAGGGTATAGATTGACGGCTACCGGGAAATGGCTTCGCGGTACTCGCATCGAAATAGTCCACCCCTCCGGCCAGTTTCCGCAAAAATTTGAAAACCCTTGGCTCGATTAAAATCCCAAGTTTGGTGGGTTAATCAATTTTCAGCAAGATGCTGTGAGCCGAATTGGTGGACTTTTCGAAAAGGTGTGTACAGAGGTGCACCACAGAGCATTTTCGCCGGATACCTATTGTCAAGTATAAAATCATACAAAATGGGGGTGGAGGAGCTGTAAGGAGCGCCTAGAGATGAATAAATTATAACAATCATGAGAAACTCGCTAGATCGAGGGGAAGCGAGGGTCAAATTCAAGCGGAAACAGCCTTGAAGTCGTCGATGCTTTCGGGCTTCTGCTGCCAGTGGCCAAGGCCAACCTCGGCGAGCTGAAAAAATGATAATAAAACGGAAATTCGGTGATAGAAAGCATAATACGATATCAGAGAAAGAGTGCATACCTTATTGCGGAAATGGCCCTTCATTGTCTGATAGTTCTCGGAACGCTGCTTCAGTTCGAGGTAGGTGTGCGAGTTGAGCTCCGGATATTGACGAATGAACGACTAGAAAATCAGACTATTTCAGAAAAGATGAGACTGTTTACCTCGAAGAGCTCGGCCTTGCTGAGACGTGAAGGAGTGCCTCGGATGGTGCGGCCTGTCTTCAAGTCGAGCGTCTCGATATGTTCAATGTTACGAGTCCACACGTGGGGCTGCGTGAAGGTTGGAACGATGGTGGACTGGAAAAAAAACAGATTATCTCTTGGAATGAAAATTACCTTGCTTGTCTCCACGACGGTATCGTCGGTGACGGAAGCGCCGATGCGACTGTAGAAGGCGTGGCGAAGCTCGGCGTCTTCATATTGGCCGATCGAGCCGAAGTAGACGGATGAGAGTTGGATTGGCTCGAGGACGTTGGATAGGAGCGCACCTTGCAGACCTAAAAAAAAGTGATTATTAATCGTTTACTTTATGGAAAAACCTGGTTTTCAGCAAAAATCTTTCAAAATGACTGCCTTCGATTTGCAAATGTAACCGCCCCGTGTCAACAGAAATCCGGATTTCCTGGCCCCTCTAACCATACGAAGTACCCCCCCAATCTCGCAGCAATATTCAATTCGAATAAGCGAGGGCTGGTCGACCAACACGGGCCGTCTTACTCACAAATTGGATCGGGGCCCGGGCATGTAAAGGGAAGGGGTTGTGTGAGGCACTGAGGGAACTAGTGTTGTCGCATTAGGCAATCTGCCGCTAATATGAGGACTGCGGGGCAGAGGGAAGGGGGGTGTGAACAGGCCGCAATATGCTCGCACACACAAATGGCCCGAAAGATTGGCACTATTGTGTGGAAGTGGTGGGGGTGGAGGGCTGGCGGTGTGAGCCAAAAACGGCACCTGGATATTCCTAATTTAAGGTAAACCTTAATCAAATTTTCCATCGAGCTTTAAAGCTTGAGCTTAGATAGAAACCGTTTTTGGCCTAAATCACATTATTACAAAAACTTTGGCGATTACCCACATCACCACAAAAGCTCATCTACCGTAACCCCGCGTCGAAAGATGACAAACCACCGCAGCGAGCGCGATTTCGCGCGCACCAGCCCCCACGCTACAAAAACCGCGGCATTCGGTAACTCGTACAGCTGTCCACCCCCGCGTCGTCCAGCTCCATTTCGCATGCAGGCTGCCCGAGCCGAAAAAGCCCCCGGGCGGCCCATCCATCTCGCCGGTGTGGGCATTGTTAGTGTTACAGCGTGGGGGTAGTTACCCTATTCCCCCAAAAACCCAAATGTGGCCATTGTGCAATGCGGGTAATCCGACTGGGGGTACAGGGAGGGCATCGTTCGTTGAAATCCGCACGATTAGGGGCAACTCTGCTGTAATGGAGCGATGATCGAGGGCAACGGGGTTGGTATGCCCCGGGGCAACATTCCGATGCTGACAGGGCCCATTCTCCGCTTGACAGCCATATAATGGGAATTAGAATTCGGACAATGGCTACCATTCAGGTGGGCCCATGTTCGACAAGGTGTCCATCCAAAACAAGAAGTTTTTGGGCAAAAATGCTTAGGCAGTCGGGGGCGGGCTGAGTTTTGGGGATGGAATGCGCAAAAATCGACCGTTTGTCGCATTTCCGGGGGCGGGCACCAATTTTTTTCCGCTACAAGTCTAGGTATGCCTAGTAACTTATTTTCATACTGTTTCAGGTATTATTTTACTATTTCACGAAGCTTAGAAACATTACAAATTTCAAGGCTTGGTCGAAAATCGGCTACTTTGTGGAAAAATCAATGGTTTGATATTAAAAATGTAAATGTTACCGACAAAAATTCAAACTTTTCCAGTACTCCCAATCCCGATTTCTCATTAAATCGCGCCCAAAACCCAGAAGCACAGCAGTGAATTAGTATACTCGGCTGGCTCTCGTGTTACCCAAAGACAGATGGGTCGCGTCGCCTGCCTAATTCCCCCGCGGGTGGCTTTATGAAAAACCGTGCTCACTGCCTGCCGAGGTGGGCCCCCACTTGGATTTATTTAACGCGATTCCGCGCTTGCCCATTCCCGGGGGTTAGAGGTGGCCGAGAAAGGATGGGAACTAATTGGCTGTCCCCCATCTTCCCTGCTTCTTCTTGGCTTCTGTGTGTGTTTTAGGTGACTAAAGGGGGGAGAGCTACCGTAGTTGAGTGAAGCGCGGGGCCCGGGTGCCCAATTCTCACATCTCCTCTTGTTAATGGAAGCAGTCGATTCCAAGGGGGGGGCTGTGTTGCCCGGGTTGAAAATCGCCTTTTCAAAAGGGGGCAGAGCAAAGGCGCGACGTCCCGGTGGAAATGGATGAGATTTGTGGGTATTGCGTGGCGCGGAAAGCAGAAAGGAGGAGCACTCGTTTCGTCTTCTTCCCGGTCTCTGTATGGGTGTCTTTCTGTCTGTCTGTGTGTCGTTACGGGCATCTTCGGTGCCCTGGCCGTCGCCTTTTCGACAACCCCATTTTTCTTGCCACCGCCCATCTTGGAGGGGGCCAGAAGGGTCCTCCTTCTACTGGAAAAGCTTCACAAGGAGACTCATTTTGAGGCGCTTGATGGCACTGGAGGGGGTGATGGTGGGGATGTTGGTGGAGTTAGTAGTAGGGCGTATGTGGTAGTGAGGCGTATTCTATGTATAGTAAGAAGCGGGTGAAAATGGCCTAGGAACGCCATTACCAGCTTTCTAATGATATAACCTTATTTACAACCACTAAGTAGCCTAAAGTTATGTCAGGAAGCCGTTATAAATAGTATTTACAACTTATTAAATTCATATACCTAATCGCTACCACCTAACCAATATAAAAGTTACCCCCATAAATCTTTGTATACATAGTAGCCGCGTTTCCTAGTAGGCAACGAAAAGCCCCCGTGAGCGCCGGAAAGAATAGCATCTCATCGACTCCGGACCTGCGTGATTGACGGCCCCGCATTCATAAGGCTCGGGGGGAAATGCGAGCGTTATGGGGGCCCCCCACACCGGACCACAGGCTCATCCCTCCTCCACGAAACTTCTATTAAAACGTCTAGTATTTGGGAAGGGGGCAAGAACGTAGATGGACGACGTTCAATTTCATCGCTGAATCCGGAGGGTGCTAGCTAGAATTTCTGAAGGGGACCAAGGGAATTTTATGGAATCATGTAGGTAACCCACGACGTTTGTTCGTTAGCGGGGGAGCTAAGTAAGCATAGGTTACCGTATGACTTTTTATTGTCATTTTACCATTTTAGCTTTAAAAAGCTCATCTATCTTTTTAAATGCTCAAGAATTGATGCTCTTCGTCTAAATGTATGTGAGGTGGCCGAATTTTCAAATTTCTTCAATTTTTAAAGGTGTTCTTATAATTTTTAGCAACTAATATAAAAATATTGCCCCCGCTAACCATCAAAAAATGGTAGTATTTTTCCGAACCAGCCATGCCCATGGCTAGAGCACATTTTAGTCCCCAGAGGTGCCCTCCCCGTTTTCCAACACTCACCGGGGGGACACAACGAACGAAAACTGGCGGGCCCATGGCTACTTACTTGCATATTCATAGCGCAATTTCATCGCCGGTTCGAAACTGCTGGGGGAGAGCAGCAGGGGACCTCCTGTTACTCAGACGTAAGGATAGGGAGAGGAGCCCCCGAAAAATTAAGCGGTTTCGGAGTGATGCGGGGCCCCCGGGCATATGGTAGGGCTTTTCGAGCGGCTGGCTGGGAGGGGGGCAAGTTTCTATTGGCGGGGCGGGGGAGAGGCGGGCACAACTTTCGGGACACGGCGCCCCACTTCCGAAGGGCTACGGTAGGCGCAAAAAGGGGGATTAGGCTACTCGGGCGGCGCAAGGTTACGGTGGGGAGGGGTCAAAATTTGCGTCGATTGTAATATAATAGAACTAACCCTGTACAATTTCGAAATTAGCACTACTTTTTGATGGCAAGAAGTTAAGTTAACAAATTTTAAAGCGGCGTAGTATGGTCTTCAAAATAAGTTTTCAAGCGCAATTGCCGAGCAGTCCTCAAAAAAAAGTCGATAGCGCTAGAAAAATTCTATATTCAGCCTAAACACGACACAATAATTAAAACGAGCTCGCTAAAATGTAAAGTATCACGGGACCAATTTTTATTATTTAATTATTTTAATTAAGACTGTTCCATTCTTCCAGTTGTTCCCCAAAAAGTAGTTTCCCCCGCCACACTGCCCAGCCATGGCCCGGTGTGTCGTGCCAGCGGTGCCAAACACACTGTTAGGGGTGTCGCCGAGGGCCCAGGAGTCACGCAAGGAGAATGTGGACAACCACTCATTTTCGCCCACAAACCTCGCTGCCTGGAAAGGGTGGGGGGCTCGGAGACGACAATTAAATGTGGAGGGGGCCACACGGATGACCGACGAGAACACGGACGAAGCCTAATGGAAAGTCGAGTATGGGGGGATGGCGGATGGGGACCCGGAAAACATGTGTAAAAGGATGGGGCTGCCGGGCGTTGTGGTGGAAAACAAAGCGAAAATAGTGCGGCACACGAGAAAATTACAGCTGAAGTGGCCGATTTTGCCTGCTTTTTTAAATAAATGTATTCGTTGAGTAACTTTTAGTCGAAGCACGCTATCGTTCACATTTTGAAATATGAGACTTCTTCAGAATTTCAGCTCTATTGAATGAGCATTACACGTCCCCAAACTCTTGTTACCTAAAAACTACCCCTTGTTAGCAGATAATTTAAAAATCCCGTCCCAATTCTCGAACCAACTTTGCAAATTCCAACACAATTTTATGACTTGTCGAGCAGATGCGTCGCCGATCAAGATGTGGCTTTGCGGTGTGCAGCCGAGGCTAGTTATGGGCCAAAGACCCAAGCCCACCGGTACACCTGCCCCATCCCCCCTCCAAAACTCTTCTCATCGATGCAATGTGACATGGGGGCGCTTGATCACACAAAGCATCCCCCATCTCCGCCCCGATGACCACTTCTGACCCCCGGCGGCAGTAAAAGTGCCCGAGAACACCTGGCCCGGTGGTGGTGGTGGCCTAAACGGGCGAAAAGTGAGAGGTCCCGGAGACACCGGGCTCCTCCCGCGCCCAAGTGACCGGGAAGGGGCCAATAAATGGATTACGCAGTCATGTAAGCCCCCCTCTAATTACCCCAAGAGCATTCCGCGCCGCGAGTAGCAGGGATTACCGGGGCAGAGTTTGGCCTGAGGATTCATTACTTGTTGCGTGGAGTGTTGCTAACCAATCGGGAGGGCATGGGGGTAAATATAATCGAAAAGGTAGTTGAGTTTACTATATCTTCTAATACATCGACTACACACAGCGCGCGCCACTGTAAAAACAAGTGTGAAAAACGGATGAGGCCATTTCCCCCAGCGCGTCACGCAGCATGAACACGCGCGCCGACCCCCGGGGACAGAATCACTCATTTCTTGCCAAAGCGCGCGCTTCTCCATGGCCTATTGGGCGCGCGAGCATGAGAACCACGCGGGGGACGGCACGGAATGGGCCAAATAGCTGCCAGGAACTTGCATGGAAAACACTAACTACCCGCTGAAATCATCGCCCGATCACTATTTTTGGGGCCGCTACCGTAGCCCCGTGGTGTACACTACTCCTTTCCAAAAGACGACAGTTCCCAGGCTGCCGCGTGCCACCGAACAATGCATCAAAGCGGCGTGTTGCTATGAAATGTCGGCACGACCGTCTCGGAGAGTGGCCGCCAATTTGCACAAGAATCGAACGGCGCCTGGGTGTGCGGGAAACCGCAGTCACTATGCTACTAGTGTTTCTGAAGGGAAGGTGTGAAATCATTAAAGGGATGGGTAACATATGACCACAGATTCTCTACGGACGTGCACCATTATGTAAACCACTTTTTGTTCTATGATCCACCCATCGAAAAAGCTACTTTTGAATCCAGGCCTCCTCCGTCTCGTCGTCACCGGAAAGTGGGTGGGTCGGGTCCCATAAAGAATCGCCGCACTGGGCAAACATTCGGCCAGGGGCTACTTGTGGAATACGAGCCCGGAGGGCCAATGGCAGAAAGTAATAGGTTAAGTGGGCTTGAGGCCCTCGTGCGCCCAAGCCCTGGGCCGAGACCTTCGAATTGAGTTCAGCGAGAGTCGGTGCAAGTGCTTGAGGTTAGCCCCCATAGTTTCCAAACGGGGAGGGGTTGACGAAAAAACTGACCAAGGTGGCACCATTTGAAGAGCTTGTCGGCGACGCAGTGTACTCGAAGTGGCCCATCGGCCACGGCTTGCTCGATCGTTTGCTGATCTTCGGGGGCACGCTCGGGACCATCCTTTCTGAAAAAAAAAGAAAATACAGACGTTTCCGCGCATCTGTTTCTGTTATAAGGCATGAAGGGTAACCCGATGACGTTTTGCAACTACCACAGTCACTTCGAGTTCTACCCGATCCCATCTTACTCTGTTCACTCTCCATTAACGGTTTGAAAGGCCCCATTAAGTGTGGGAGCCAGCTTTGGATGTCGGAAAGCCCGAATCCAACTCGCCCTCGCCCCAGGCCCCCCATGCATCGGCTCCCAAGAGCCATCCCTGTAATCCAATTGTTACTCCATTCGTCGAAACAGGCGCTTGCTTCCAGTCGCCCTTCAGTCCGCAGCCACCCTCCATACACAACTCTCCCATTTCAATCCGGACACAGTGGCTACTCGGGGCTTGGCATCGTAAAGCGAGGGACTGGCTGAGATTTAGACATGCGACAGATAGCAAAAAATAAAATTTGGATACATCCCCTCGATTCTGTCCAATTATCGGGGGCCGGGGGGCTTTTTTGCTAGAAGTGTCTACATTTCAAGTGAAAAAATTATCTAAACTCAAAATATTTTCTGAAAAAAATTTGTTAGAATTTTCCTAATCAGATTTTGGTGCTCTAGCACGAGCGCCCATCCAAGTTCTTACGGTAAAAACTTGATCCTAATCTCCCCGACACACGATCAAGTGGGCCCCCGTAGGCGCGGCCGGGGGCTCGATTGTATAACAGGGCAGATGTTCGTCGGTCGGTCGGTGTGTACCCATCTAGGGTGCGGGCAGGGGTGGCTCTTCTCATTTCTTTGGCGCATGGCTCACAAAACGCCCCATAGGGCGCGGGGTCTTTTGTGGTTAGCCGCATGGTTTGAATTGGTATGGAGGGAGGGGGTGGGCAAAAAAATGGATTTTTAATAGTGGCTTCCAAAGTAGAAATAATTGTAAATTTTAATAAACGTTTTCATAAAACTGCAAAAAATCACCCTACCTCAAAGCTAAATTTGGCGAGACTATTTAAAGGGATAGGAAAGTCACGCCCATGAATTTACTGTGGATTTTGCTGTTTTCCGGTTATATCGAAAAAACTCTACTGTTCTCTGGTGGAATAGCTAAACTCGAAGTTCGCTTCAGTTTTTCAGATATTTCGTGAAATCTCAGTTTTGATTTACAGGCAATCTACAGAAAAGTGGTAGCGCCCATACTCAGCCCTAACACAGTAATCCTATAAGATCCGCCGCTTTGTACTTTCAGTCCAAATTGAGCGGGCAACATCCGGGCGGCGCCGGGGGATGAGTGGAGTGTCAGAGCCGAGATATTGCGCATATCAAGGGTGTCTTCAAAGGCACTTGAGCGCGTGTGGCGTCCCAATTGTCCCCAACTCATTAAGCCTGTAATCGGCTCCCCTCAGCCGAGATGAGCCTATGTTCGCGCGAGTGTCAGTTTTGTAGCTGCCGGGGAGCTATACGGTAAATCTTTTCATATAAACTTCTATTTTTCAAGCACCCTAAAGGGGAAGGGATTCTAATATAAAATTACATAATTCTAAATTCGCGAGTAAAATTAAAAGATTTTGGCCAATTCCTTTGATTTTTACCAAATTAAAATGCATGTACCCTACTCCTTTTAAATTTAAACTCCTAATAATAACAGGAACATCTTATCAAAACCCCCATTGACAGTTTTATGAATTCACATCTACGCCCTCCCGCATCACTAAAATTATGCTTCTTCCTTCATGAATCAGGAAGCGCAAGCCATGCCCAACTCCATTGTCCGCTCGAGGTTCTAGGCGTATGGGCAATGAGATGCATATAGGCACGCTGGTGGGCCCCAATCGACGGTAAACTACCCCCCGGGGCACAAAGGGCCGCCGAATATGGTAATGTGGTGAGTGCGCGGGGCGGCGGTAGACGGGAAACCTTGCTAACTGGCAACTGACCAAATAGGAGGGCCACAACGGACACGAAGACCCCCCCCCCTTTGGTCTCTTTCTGTACCCAACAAACAATGGTCGTTTACTCGGACATGCATTTAGGTTGCATGCGGAACATTGGTGGGAGAGGGGCTAAATCTGGAACCTAGAGGGCGAGGGATGAAATTGCTTAGTGGTAAATTCTTTAAGCATTAAAGGGACAGAAGTTTTGGCGAGGAATTCCAAAGACCTTGCCATGCTCGCGACACAAAACGCGCAGCCTAATCCGTTGCTCAATGAATTTCGACTAAAGATTCTAATCATCTAATATCTAGATAACAAGCTAATTACGGTCCAAAGTACTAACGTTTTTCGTAGCATCTCTATGCCTTAACCCCTTCGCCGTGATCAAGCGTTTCGCGTGAGCGACAAAATCTAAAGAAGACCCGTATTTTTTTAGTTCGTCCTCTAATCCACCGCAACATTAATTTCCAGAAGATAGAGTCGGTTGGCATTTCATGGAGCCAATGAAGAGGAAAAGAAGGGGTGGTTGATGGGCTTGTCCTCCAAGTGTCGGGGCCGCAAAGTGACACTCGTTGATTAACTCTTGCCCCCGATGGACACTAGACACCAATAATCCCCCAGATTCACACAGACATTCCCCCAACTACTAAGGGGTGCGCGCAAACTGAGAGTCAAAAGATTTGCAAGGAATCAAAAAAAAATAAGCTTACCCGTAGACAGCCAGGCTTGGATTCGGGCTGTTCGGTGACGCGAATCGAATGTCGGGGGCGAAGGTGGAGTACATGATCACGCGCAGGTTCGGCTTGAGACGGAAGGTGCCGGCCTGAAGGAAAAAAATTTAGTAAACGCCGCGTAGTGGAAATGGAGATTTTCTATTAAACGTCGAAAATCAGAATATCAACGTTTTGATTGGTGGAAAATTCACTTCGACCACATATAATTTGTGAAACCTTCAGTATGTCGGGAATACATGGACAACGGCGTCAGGCCAGAATATTTATGGCGGCATTCTGATTTTCGACTATATGAAAATTATTCACCTCTGTCTTCATGAAAATGCAGGACTCAGGGTCAGCCTCGTGCCGCTCGAGCTCCGTCATGAAGTACCTAAATAAAAGATGTAAGAATCGTCTAATATCCTCACTTGATCATGCTGCGACGCGCCAGGACGATGGACTGCATGTGCACCAGAACGTGTCCGTCGGCTGATTTTAGCTGAAAAAAATTCGGCATTAGAACCAATAACATAAACTCACCAGCCCAGGCTCAATAGTGCTTTGCATGCAGCTGCCAATTGAAAGGAGACGCTTTTCGTCCTTCTCGTTGATCAAATAAAAGCTAAAAAATAAAAAGTTTCGAAGACCCATTACTAATGCACCAAAAAGGTTGAAAAACGTACGCCGCCATGTCCGAGCATCGTCCCAGTCCGTAAAATCCACACATTTGGAAGTATTCTCGTTTCGTGAACTCGGCAATCTAAAAAAATTTCGTTTCAATGTTCAAAAGATAGCCAAACCTCATAGCATCTCTTGCTGGTGCCCAGGCAAGGAGCCGGGTCGTTGTTGAGGGTCTCATCGTAGTCAAACTGAAAAAGTCGATGAAAAATCAGGAGTAAAAGTACCTTGAAGATGCCCTTTAGCGCCTGGTGTGCCGCATCGTTCTTAGCGGATTTCTTGCTCTTGCCGACGCCGAAGAACTCCTCCTAAAAGGAAGGTTAAAAATGCCGCTGAAGCATACCTTGTCGTTAATCTTGATTTTCACGCGGAAGTTGGGGATGTTGCCGGGTGTTTCGGACGGGAGATCTTCATAGACCATGGTGGGCATTTTCTGAAAGATATTATTTAAAAAAATGGCTCATAAAAACCAACTCCACGGTGCAGTTTGGTGAGAAGAAGATGAAGCTTCTGTGTTGCCGGTACAGGAACCACGGGCTTGGTCGATAGATTGTCCATATCGATATCGAATACCTAAACAAAAATAAGTAAAATCCTAAAAAGAAAAGTACCTCCAAATTGGCCTTCTTGGCTGCGTTCAGCTTCGCCTCCATTTTCGAGGCGGCCGGCGCACCAGTGATTTTATTTTTTTGGTCGGCTAAATCAGAGATGACAAGTCAAAGAAAACACCTTACGATTGCTCTTATCCGTTATCATCAGTTCTGCGTAGTATCCTGTTGGCCCAGGCTGGAATTTCTAAAGTAAAATATTTAGATTCATGATATTAGCTAACCGTCACATCTTCTTTCTCCTTCTCCAAAACGGTGAAGGTGGCCTCGCGGTTCATCGAGGCAGTGACGTGATAGAGCACCTAAAATACTGTTAATAATAAGCGCTATGCCTCGAACCTGGAGAGCGTTCATCTGAGCCAACTTCGGCACCAGCGAGCGTTTGACGATTGTTTGGATCTCGGTGTCGGAGACGCCAAATAGCGTGGTCAGTGCCTAAAACGTAATATTTAGAGAAGAGCAAAAATCTGATGTACCTCGCGAACTGCCATATCCTTCGGATTCGTCTTCCCATAGCCCTCCGTCACAAACGATTTGTTTTGGTTCGGGAACGAGAGAGTGAACCTGAAATGAGAAATGAGAGTGAATATTCCTAAATAGCTTACCGGAACTTGTGCTTATTCGGCGGCACCTTGGCCTGATCGCCCTCGGTGATGTTGGTGTGTTCCATCTTGATCTCTTCGAATCCAGGGTGGTCCAGGCACATCTTCCGCAACAGATCGACCAGGGATAGCGCCGATTCCATCGGTGGCACCCGGTTGCCAGCATTTTCCTAGACAAAAATTGATGATACAAAAAATAACATGCTTCTTTTATCAAGCATGTTTTTTTTTAATTTCCCCGTTTCTAGATGAAAAGGGAAAGTCTTAGTGGCCGCTGAATAATTTCAAAATCTCGGAGAAATTTTCCGGATTTTTTCACACAATCACGATCTTTTCGCCTTTCTTGGCCCAACACAAAATGGTACAAAACGGACAAGTACGACAATTGCAATCCAAGAATCATACTTTCTGGTTTGCCTTTGTCGTCACGCCCGTCGTAGCCTCCTCAGACATCTAGAAGTGCGTTTATAGAGATGTGATGGTATGAAAAAAGACAGTGCGCTTGCGCGAGAGAAACGTAAAACCTGCAAACATGAAGAACACGAAGTTACCTTCGCCTTCTTCTTTGGGGGCTCTTGCTTTGGAGCGGCAGGCTTCTCGGTGTCTTCCCACGGCGAGATTTGAATGTCCGGGCGCAAGGCTTTCAGCACAGCTTCAGCGGCTTTCTAAAGTGAATTCCTAGTCAAATCAGCTAGCTTACCTGCTTGGCATACTTCTTATTATTCCCTTCACCAATATATTCGCCTCCTTCGACGGTGACAATCGCGCGATACATCTTTGGGATCTGTCCCGGTGGCTTCGCGTCGACTGGCTCGCAGCGTTCCTGGACATTCCTAAAAAGGTTATATTTTCGTAGAGCGCAACAAAAACGCACTTGAAAAGCTCGTGCAGCAGCATGGCAGGCGACTTCCCGGTGGGATCGTATGGTTTCTTAACAGCGCTTTGTCGCTTCTTATCCTGCCAGTTGTTGCTCTTCTTCGGGAACCCGAGGCCAGCCTTCGAGAATGGAGACGGGCCTGCGAATCCGCCCATCGGCGTGTAGTTCGACATTTGGGCATTCTGGGCCGGCTTGTTCGATTGAGGCTGCGCCCAGTATCCGCCAAGAGGTTTGTTCTAAAAATAGACTTGAAGACCCAGATTTTGAAGGTGTAGGATATCAAAATCTTCAACACTTACTTGTTGTGGGACGCCCACACCGAACGGTCCCGTGGCCAGCTTTGACGTATCACCGACGGCGAACGCAGAGTTGTATTGAGCGTTCAGCTGGTCCTTGGTTTGCTGGAGCGGCGGCTGCACATTTCCCCAGCCGTATTGGTAGCCGGAGTAGGGGTTGTTGAAGTCCATTCGCACGCGCAGCTATCTAGCCAAGGTTGAATTCCTGGAAAATCAGGGTTTAATTGGGGAGCCGAGCAAGAAGAAGCTGAGAAGAAAGCGGTATTCATTGATTTCTGACAATACCGTTCTCGCAAACCCTCAAATCTATAGCGCCTCGACCCGCAGTACCTACCGCAACAACTCCGTTACTAGGGACCACTTACTCTGGCTGTTTGAACGCAGAGGGCGGCTAGCTACGGTAAGAAAATGACCACTGGCTCGTTGCCAGTTGCGCCCCGGGCGGTCAACCGAACAACAAAAAAACAACAAAAGTTTACAGTTTGTAGTTAGAAAAAGATATATTTAGCTAAAAATTAAAGTTCAAAATAAAAAATTATTTGGCTTCGATGTTTTTCGGCCAGTCAGGTCAAAATCTACAAAAATCCGGATGCACGAAGAATATCATTCCACTGCTGAACGCTTGTTTTCTAAAAGTTGGATTCAGTTCTAAAAGATTCTAAAAGTCCGCACAAATTCGCCGAAAGGTGTTTTCTAAAATGTGGATGGCTGCTAAGTCCAGGCTTCTTTCGCGAACCCTTGTTTGCTAAATGTTGGATAACTGTGTGATCCGATCCATTAGTGTTTTTACTTCTAAAATTGCTGCTGCTACTTCAAGAAAAACGTATTTTATCTCCAGAATTGCAGGTAGATGTACAAATGACGACTGAGAGGGAACAACTATCCCGTCTGGTGAAGCAATGGAACGAGAACCGGCTCGACCTCTTCCATTTGACGCAGCCCACCGAGGTTAGTTCTTTCAGTTAAGCATTAAAAACATTTGCTGCTTTTAGGACCTCGAGATAGAGGGCGTGATGAGGTTTTACTTCCAAGACGTTGGCGAGCGAGTGTCGACAAAATGTATTCGTGTTTCTTCCACTGCTACTACACGCGCGGTCATCGATGCGTTGGTGGAGAAGTTTGTTCCTGACCTGAAGATGCTCACCGATCCCGAATATTCGCTATGGGAGGTTCATGAAGGTGTGTTTGATGGGTTTTTTAATTTGCAAGCTAATAGTCCCTAGAATTTCTATAAAAAAATATCGTTTTTAGGTGGCGAGGAACGTAAGTTGGACCTCGAGGAGAAGCCTCTCGTAGTGCAGCTTATGTGGCATCGGGATGACCGGGAGGGTCGATTTCTTTTGAAAAAACATGGCAGCCAATATCTGCCGCTTTCGGTGAGAAAGTTTTATCTATTTATCGTGACAAGGCTCAGATGCGGTGTTATTTATGTAAATTCCCCAAACATTTTCTGGCGTCAGCAGTTTCGATGTTTTTCAGGCGCTCCAGCTACATGACGACAAAGATTCTGGTGTCCTCAAGCGCTTTTCCAAGAAGCCGGAAAAGGAATTGAAGAAAAAGCATCAGGGAATCGGTGGGGATTTGATGAATTTGGGACTATTTTTTTGCTTTGTGTAAAAGCTCCGTATTTTTTCTGGCCTCGCCTTTCTTTTGTGGTCTATTATTGCTTTATCGGGGGATGATGATGCTTGCTCCTCTTGAGTGAGCCGGATTGGGGTAGGATCAGCTGTCCGGAACAGGGGCTATCTCCTTATCTGCCGCTGAACCTGTTCTCGCCAGCCAGCTCTGCGGGATCCCTGTTCGCTGCCCCCCGGGCATGCCCCTTTCTTTCCCTTCGCGCGGGCATTCGTCCAAAAATGTCCGAAACGTAGGACTCTCTTGAAATCGGGCGGTGATACTAATTTATCATTATTAGCTCTGAAATCTTATTTGTTTCCTGCACTCTACAAATAAGCCCTATTTCAGTTTCCGTGAACGCCGGCAGAGAGGAGGACTACGCCCAATCAGATATCTATCAACAGGTGGATTAACTGACGTCGATTTTCAAGAATTTTTTTAGGTTCCGGCCACCACATTCACGCGCACCATCTCGAACCCCGAGGTGGTTATGAAAAAGAGGCGCGAGCGGAAGCTTGAAGCCAAGTTGAACGAGATGGGGCAGCAAGGTTATTCGCTTCCGAGCTTCATTGACTGGGATTTAGGTGGAAGTCTGAAGGTGTATGGCGCGGAACTCGATGCCACGCGTACGTATGTGACGCTGCTCGTCAGCATGCGTGATCGTGCTGCTCAAATTTTGCGAGAAGCCCTAGAAAAGTACAACCTCGGCCATCTGAATCTCGAAGAATTTTGTCTTGTTGAGGTTCGTTTGAGATGCGTTATTGTTATTGAAATCGGGATCATCTAAAAAGTTCTTATTATTTTTACCTATTTAAATACACCTTCAGTTGACCGCCGATTGAGATTTTTTTGTGTGAGTTAAAGCTGTCGTTCTGTGCTTTGTTATTCTTGCTTTATGGTCACTATATCAATCTCATATCCGCTAACAACTTATTTTTAGAGCACTTCCCCACCGGATATCAGAAGATCCATGAATGATCTAAATGTGGTGGAGCATGGCTCGGAACGACTACTCCACCCCGACGAGTGCCCTTTGATCACGGTAGGTGCAAAATTCCTTTGACCTGCAGGAACAAACCAGCGCTTTGATTTTCGACTCTTTTGGCTCCTGCGCTCATATCAGTCACGAGTTCCAGATCGCCAACCGGCCACCCGGTGCTCCGGAGGTCTTTTTCCATATCCGGCGACGCCCCAGTCATTATAATCGCGTAGGTTTAGTGTCTTAGAACAGTAGTATATTTTCTTAGATTTCGAACGCATCTAGTGACATCAGTCGCGGGCTGCCTTCCAGGGGGTTTGCCACGGATCCTGCGTTTGTTCTTCAAACGGCCGGTAATTTTATTTTAAAGAAATAGCACAGAATTTGCCTTATTCCTGTCCCTCAATAACCCGAGAATTCAGATGGTTCTCGAGGTGTCGTGCTACCAGTGATGGATGGTGTGACCGAGGTCGGGTCCGACAAATATTTGGCTGAATTCTCGCCGCAAAACATTATCGTGAGTTTTTTGAAGCAATTCTGAATTTTGTGATTGTAGCTTGGCGCTACTGGTGTGCACGGACGGCATTGTGTCATCAACTTCGAGCAGGGTGTCGTGACTCTGACGCCAAGTGCAGCGGATGCATATATTGAGGTTGAAATAACTTTGCAAGAATAACAAAAATAAGCGTTTTAGGTAAACGGCCGCCCGATCGCCCAGACGGCCATCCTAAACGAGGGAGATTTGATTCGATTGGGTCCTGAATGCTTGCTGCGATATGTCCATTCTAAGGTTTGTAGTTTAAAGGGACTGGTCAGTTTATTATATCCAGCCGGTACGTTGTCATGACACTTAATTTTCATAATGCCGAATTTTTGTTAGCGCTAAATTGTTGTAAATTTTTGGCATTTCGGCATCAGAAAAAGTCTTCATTAGAACAATTCAGCGTTATAATATTTCGGCATTAAAATAATTCGGTATTGTGGCGGTGATTTAGCAGGAATCTAACAGAATCTCAAATTTCCAGCCTCTATTTTTTGGTAATCTCCACATTCAAAAGCTGGGGCAGGTGATATTCCTGAAGCTATAAATGCTGAGTTAGAGTATGAAAATGTCGTTATCCTAGAAATTCCCAGTATCCGATATTCTAAAAATTCGAGATTCCTCTAAACAATGTCGCTAAATCCTCAAGTCACCCCTCCCTATATTGCTTTGATCTGGGCCCTCAATGACGCGCGCGGGGTCCCTAGCTAGGGGCCTGTCCGGGTCCTCCTCTCTCCCCTCCTCTCCTTCCCTTCCGTGCTTGTGGTAGTGTCCTGCGGTGAGTGTCTCGAGGTGGCGGTGGACCCTCTCCTCCACCTCATCCCCCCTCCCCTACTTCCCCCTCACTGTATCCGACCCTTTTTAGGAAGAAGAGGGTGGAACAGTCCCCAGTCCTCTTGACGCGCATTTTTGTACGCTCTCGGGTTATCCCATTTGTCCTTGAGCCGCCTTCCCCTCCTCCCCCTCCCCCAATACTCTCCGCAATCGTTTTGCGGCCCGGCCAGTGGTTCAATCCAGCGGGTGCAGGATTTTTAATGGGATTTGGCCTCGATTTAGACATTTTAGACTCGATTTTGCGACTATTTTAGTTTCAAAAAGGCCTATAAAAAGTTTTTGAAAATTAATTTTTTTTGTCTATTTCAGGCACACGCCGACCATTTGCCCCCGCCGTCTTTTTCACATCAGCTGCAGCAACGAAGGTAATTTTATGTTTGCTTTTTGGGTAGATGGTTTTGGGTATCGTTGAACCGAACCACTTGTGCTTGCAGTTTTGCTAAAATAATTTATGCACTTTTTTCTTGATAGTCTACTTTAGCTCTGGGTGGCTCTCGTTGAACCGATGACTTTTGTTTCCAATTTGTTTTTAAATTACCCGTTTTCTCGAAAATTCGGCTTACAAAAATGTTACTAAAAAAAGTTCCTTTGAAACCATTTCGACTCGTTGACCTCATCGTATTCTGCTTTTTTCTATTGAAAGTGGGCTTGAAGCCATCGGACCGAACCACTTTGTATTCTCATTTTCCAAAAAAAATATTTTCTGTTTTTTACACCATAGGGTGGTCTAGCCCCCTTTAAATCTTTTCGACTGGTCGTACTCATTATATTCTTTATTTATATTCTTGAGCTTCCGCCATGATCGAACCACCCCCATATCCTTTTCTCTATTCCTCCTTCTTTTTCTTCGGCTTCTGAAATCTGAGCCTCGGCGGCTTGGTCCTGTCCGGACCAGCCCTTCTGTGGTTGCCCATCCCCCTCCTCTCCGCGTCCATCCAAAGCGTATTTTGACGCGCACTATTTGCGAGGCCGTCCGTGTGTGTGAAGGGTCGCCCCCGTGGCCGCACCCGGCTTCTTCTTCTTCTTCTTCACGCACAATATCGGCTCGCTTTCTGCCCTCGCAATCCGGTCAATCTGCCGTGTCGGCGGCCAGTTTTTGCTGGGTTGACTTGGTGAGAGGGTTTCTGGATTCATTTTTGGTAAAAATATTTTGGTATTGGGCTGTTAGCGGGGACTATCTAGCCTATACCTACCTTATTAAATCGGCATAAAGATATTTAGATCGCTTTAAAATCTAGAATTTGACCATTTTTGTTTATTTTGACCAAAAAAAGGAAACTTTTCGAAAGTTTTATTAAATTTTTTTTAACTTTTAGGATTTAAAAATGGCGTAGAATCTATATAGTCGGCTATCTTGCTTTATTGTAGCCATACGGGCACGATAGGCCATAGTTAGAGCCAGGTTAGGTCCCCCCCGCTAACAGCCCATTACCATTTTTTTAATATCTTTTACGCCTCGATATACTTTTAGTCTCAGCACATTCTTAACTTTTTTGTGGAGGTTCCCATCCATCAAACCCACCAAGCCCACTAATTGCAGACTCCCTATGGGGGTGAATTACGAGCTTGGCCTGCCTCAAAAGGTGGCTCTCCCCTACTTTTCCGCCGCCTGAATCACCCTTATCAGCCCGTTAGATGAGTCACAAATCGGGCTCTCCGTACACGACGGCCCTCCTGTTTTCCCACCCTGACGGCCCATTTTTCCATTCACCCCGTTGGCTTATCGATCTCTCGGCCAGGGCCGACGTACGCTGGGAATATTCCATTTCTGATCGACTTCCTAACTTTCGCTAGCTTCACTATAACTCTTTACTAACTCAAATGCGGCAGGCCAATCGCTATCGAGCGCAGAGCGTCACGGACTTACGCCAGCCAGCACCGTCGAAGGATTCGAGGCTCATCTCGACAAGCTATCCCCTACAAAGGGCCACTTCTAAGCCGGTGATCCTAGGATTGACGGCTAGCCTGAAGCATTCCGGACCATCTGCTAGGATTAGTCATCATCGGTCAATGGAGGCGCTCCATAACCCGGTCACACCCACCCCGGCACCACGCCGACCCATTGTCGATGTCAGCATGAGCAGCATGTTTTTGAAGAGCATGTACGAATTTCGTTGGAACATCTTGTTAAAAAAATTCTAGAAAAGTTTTCTGATTTTTCGCTAAATTTTGTACTGAATTTAATTTGGCGCTAAATAACTAACCAGCTGTCACTGATAATAAGAACCTGGAGGAGAATATAAATAATTCTAACCTTCAAATTCTTTCTTTTTATTCATCATAATAACAATTTTAAGACAAGGGGATTTGGTGCATATTTTATTCTGATTTTTTTAATCAATAAGCTAAAAACGGACTAACGCTAAAAAGCATTCGAATTCAAATGTAGTGATCTTTTATAACTGGTCACTTCCCTTTTGTTATTTTGCAAAGGTATGAAATTGGGCGCGAGTGATTCGGTTCAAGATGATGCCATCATAAAATTATGAGAAACGGTTCTATATTCCAAATTTTAGACTATCCGGCTCCTCGATGGGCTCTACCACCCGGGCAAGCCAGGCTGAAGCCGAATCGGGTACGTCTACGCAGTCATTACCTAGAATTAATTACCTTATTATTTTCAGCAAACCCTGGCTATGAGACCCCGCAGATAGCGCAACAAATGACTAACATCCCCCAGGGCCCACCTATGTCCATTCAAGTCGGCGACTACAAAGTCTGGGATTTTCTTAATGAGGTTCGTTTTTAGCTTTTTACTGGATGCACTGAAAATACATGGCAATTCGACGCAAAATCCAAAAATTTAGGTGCTCTCCCACGGCAGCGAAGAATCTTTCCGGCTGGCCCCATCTTTCGCCCTGTATTTGGCCCTGCGCTTCTTCCACACAAACCACAAGCCCTACCTCGTCCAATTCATCTCTCGCATCGCCTCGCAGTTGGCTCAGAGAACTCAGGAATGCGACAAGGCCGAAGAACTGCTTTTCTGGTTGGCCAATGCTAGCGAGCTCTCCTTCCTCGTCGACAGCGACTGCGAGATTCGCCCGCTTGCACAGCAACAGGGTGGTCAGTTTTTTAGACAACCTAACTTTAAATGGTTTATTTCAACAGCATCATCAAACCTAGATTAAAAGAAAAATATAAGATTAGTGATTTTCAAGTAATTTTTACTCGTTTAGCATCCCTTTCCGCGTGTGTCGAGCCCCTCCTCCGCAAAACTGTGGACGTTCTGACGGAGAAATTGCTGCAAGCCCCGGAAGTGTTTTTCGATGAGAACGTCTCCGACGAGCAAGCTACAAGTATCACAAGCTCCAATTTTTCAAGGATTCTTTGTTTAGACATTGTCATCACCGTGCTCGATGCTTTTGTGAGGTCCGCAAGAAGTGTTCGGCTGAATGCGGCATTGACGATTCAGGTACAACAGAAATCTGCTTTTCAAGGTCAAACCATTCTTTAGATTGCTAGTCGGCTACTTCATATTCTTAACGCGACGCTATTCAACGCACTGATCGGAAAGCAACAATTTGTAAGTTTTAAGTTTGTTCTCCTTTTAATTTTTCGATGATTTCTCATTTTACCTACTTTTTCAGAAGCCCCGGCTTACCCATTCTCTCGGCGAACGGCTGAAGCCGCGAATCGGCTACCTCATGGCGTGGGCTGACCGAAACGGACTTGAGCTGGCCGCTGAATGCCAGCTACACACGATCACGCAGGTTTACATTTTGAGCATCCTGCTTTAATTCCTTTCTTTATGAAAGTTTAATTAATTCGAGAAACTTTAAGCTTTGTGATGAATTGCAAGATCTATTTAACATTTCAAAGCTATATTTCCAGGCGTCCTCCTTCCTGGCGGCACCAAAGACCGACATCGAAGAGATGGGTGCATGTTGCGATAAGCTGAATAGCGCTCAGGTTTGCTGTTTTTTTATTTCCATAAATCATCTTTTTTAGGTTAAACGGCTGTTCGACTTGTACTTTGTTGGGGAGAACGAGCCGCCGCTTGAGGAGGAGGTCGTGCAGGCCGTCATTGGCGTTGCCGAGCGGCATGGCGACACCCTGTCGAAGAATCTCGAAGAGTCCACCAACTTTGGGCTGCCGTTTTTGATGCCAACCGAGGGTTATGTTACAGGTCAGCTTTATGCCATTGTTTTTACGATATTTTGGGCTGTTGGCGGGAGTGGGGGATTTGCAGGGGACTAGTTTTTGTTTTTCCGCTTATCTCAAGTTTATTTTAATGCTTGTTTTTATTGGACTTGTTGTTAATGCAGAATGCCGCTTTATGGTATTTGCTAGATCTGTAGAACGTTATGAAATATATTAAAAAAATTGGCGATTTTTCATGCATTTTGGACAAAAACTGCAAAAAATTCGAAAATGTCTTTATTTTTTTAATGACTTTTGATATCTAAAAATTGTATTAAATGCTAGAAATGGTTTGTATTTCGTTATAGGGAAGTACGTAATAATTGGGAAAAACTTGGTTCTCCCGCTCACAGTCCAGTACCGTTTTTTTTTCTCGCATCGGGATTCTGTCATTCGAGTTTTGGCATTCGATATTTTATGAATTCGATAGCCTTTGCATTTAACTTTTTATTTATTCTCGCATTTTAGAGCATCTTCGCGGCGCCCCTGAACCCTTGCTCGCCTACATTTTACGCCTACAACAACGTGGGCTTCTACATCAGGCCGCCACCCTCGACCCACGATCCACTTGGCTTGTCCGCCAGCCGACCACCAATGGCATCGGCGCCATTCAACAACAGCCCATCACGGCCCCGAAACCGCAGCCACCCCCACAACTACACAATATCGTCCAGCCTGGGCATTTCGGCGACAGCACCGCCAGCTCGTACAGCGGTGGTGGAGCTTCGGGATATGGTGGCCAGAAATGGTTCCCGGAAGAAATTGTGCGTGTTTCGTTGACCCGAGGACCGGGAGGGATTGGATTGTCGATTGTGGCTGGGCAGGGAAATGGCGACCCATGCGTCGGAATCTACGTCAAGAAGGTAATCTATTTATGCAATCGAAACCAGACAATATGGATTTCGAAATTCTGACATTTTGAAATTTAGCAAAATTCCGTAATTTCAGGTAATCGACGGAGGCAACGCAGCTCTTGACGGTCGCCTAGCCGTTGGCGATCAACTCCTATCTGTAAACGGAATTCCGTTGATGGGCATCACACAAGAAGATGCGGCTTCAAGGATGGCTCGTGCCGGCCCGAATGTCTGTTTCGAAGTGCGGAAGGGAGCGGCTCAGGCGAACGGGTTGGCCCACTGGCTGAACGCGCCCACCACCCCGAATATGGGCTCCACCCATCAACCACTGCCAATGCCCTCTCAACAACCTGGATATCAGCACTTCCCCAAGCAGCCGTCGTATGTGCAGAAACAACCTGGCGTCCGTGTGCCTCAACAGCTTGCTGAACCACCGCGGCACCAGCGCAGCAACTCGGCGTCGGATTTGTATTCTCATGATGTGGGTTAATTAAAAATTAGTAGGAATAAACAATACAGAATTCTACGGAGTTCAATCTGTCATGAAAAACTTAGTTTTATTATCTGTTTTCAGCCGAACGTCTCGATCTCGGGCCGCTCGATTTGCTCGTCCGATTTCGCGCCAGCTGGTGCGGGCGGAACCACGCGGCTCCCGTCTCGATACCGTCCGACCGTTATCCAACCAGGCCGCTCGTCTTCGGGCGCGCAAAGCCCTTCGGCGCTGCGCAAGGGAGCCCCAAGCCCCACCGGATTGTACAGGTGATTCTGGATTTCTGATATAGGAATTCCCTTTAGGCCGCCCTCTGAAGTGCCGATGGCTCGGCCGAGCAGCATCAACGATCAGCTCATTCAGCCAAGACCCCAGCAACCACCGCCAGTTATGGAACGGCCTCCGAAATTTGTATCGGTGAGTGTTAGAAGCGTTATCATTTTTCGAAAAGCGAAAATCCCATCATTTCAGAAATTAATTTTTTTTAATATTATTGAAACTTAGAATTTTAAAAATGGCGCGCGCAATGCAGATTTTTATAGTCCGAAAACCTGACTTGACCGGGGTCGTTTTTTGGAAATACGATTTTTTAAACGTGAATGAAAACCTGGATAAATATGTATATTTTAGTCTCCCCATCATCAACAACAACCATCCACCTCATCCAACCATCCGCTCGACCCGATTGCCGTTCCAATTTTCCGAGCGGTACGTGATTCATCGGTATTTTGTGGTTTGGCATGTTCCGCCTTTTCCCAATCCGGAAATTCCCTAATTCCCCGTTGCACTAATAGCTTGCAGCAGTCGTCGGGTCTTCAACACCCACCACCCCCGGTCGCCCAATCATCACCACGGATGTCCTCCGGCGGACCCCACATCTACAGCCCCATCGCTGAGCCGCCGCTCGACCGGGATAACTATGCGAACTTGCCGCTTCATCGACCCCAACAAGCGCCACCCAGTCCCGATCCGAACAGCCACTACCGTAGCCCGAGAGACTTGGATTTGACGAGACCCCCGATGCCGGGCTCTGGATCTCGGCCCTTCTCCTACACTCAGGGCGCTCCGGCCGTGCAATTGGTGAAAAAGGTGTGTCAATTCCCGATTAATCGTTAACATGTCATGAGCAAGGGGAAATTTTCTTGACATTTCTGAATCCTTGTGAAATGCTGAAAGCGTCGGTACTAGACTGTGAATTGGATAATTTTCGTGAAAAATGTAAGTTTTCAGGAGCCAGCAATCGTCAGGCCGTTGGAGCCGAATATGGCGGCCAATCGTCAGCCCGAATCCCGGACGACAACTTTCGGGGTCACTGGTGCCGTGCCCACACCACTCGTAGCCCTGCAGCAGGTATGCTTTACGTTTTTCTTCAAAATTCTCATTTTTTTAGAACGGTAAACAGCTGAAGCCGGTGATCCGCAACGACCCACTGACCGCACTCGATCGTGACGTGCGCAACTTGGACAATATGGTGATTCGTGGTGCTCGAGGCTTTCAACAGCTTTTCAGAGCCGTCACAACATCTCGATGGAGCTGGACCTGCTGGAGATGAAGGGCATCAACATGAGCGACGGTGAGCAGATGCGCTACCGGCAATTGCTGGATGAGAAGGCGGCAGAGCGACGGTATTTTTGTTACGGTATACGGTACAATTTATTTTTGTTTAGAGACCCCCAGCCGCGGCAGGTGCGCCATGAAACTGTCATTGATGATGTTGATCCACGCCATGCTTATCAGCTGTGAGTAAATCTAAGCGTACTTTGGAATTGCTCGGAATCTTCGAATTGATTTGGTTTTTAGGGAAACGTCTCCACTTCGCTTGCCTCAGCAATACATTCAAGACATTGAACCCGCCGACAGCCCAGCTGTAAAATTATAGATTTTTGGAAAACGCTTCTTTTAGATCACGGGCTCCCATGAGGTCTACAGAGATCCGAGGACCCGCCGCTTGAACGAGATCCAGGCCCAGAATATTCAGCCATCGGTTCGAGCTTTTTCCTCGCGTCAAAACCGTCCTTTTCCAGGTCGATGGCGCCCACCTCGGCTTTCAAGACAAGATGAAGCTGTTCGCCAAGCAGATCGGCGAGAGCACCCCAAAGGACCGCGCCAAGGAAAGCTCGGCGCAGCGCCAAATCGAACGAGACTGATTAACCCGAAACGGTTCATCCAACTCCCCCCCTCCTGCATGCCTAGATCTCGTGAAAATGTCTTTATTTAGCTGTCAATTGTATATTACCCCCAATTTATTTGCTAGTTGCAATTCCCTTGCCTGCCTTTACCTATTATTTTATATTCTGACATTTTGCTGTGCAAGTGCTCTGAAGGTGCTATCCCACCACAATCCGCCCATATTCTTCTTGCTCATCGTGCTATTCTTTGATTCATTCTGCCGAGGGCGAATAGCTTTGACAATTTGTATTGAACTATTGATCGCTCAATGGATCTGCGGGGGCGATAATAAAGCTTATTGAATGGACCATGGCACGACAAGAACTGTTTAAGACTTCAAGACTTTAAGTTCTCTAAGAGCTTGAACTTCCAGGGAACCACGGCGCGGTAGTGTAAGAGAATATGAACAATTTCAAGCGGAACAAGTTGCGCATGCTTCGTTGGACTTTGCAAATAGCGGCCTGGAACGTTCAGGCCTCAGAATTTTGAAGACCTGAACGTTCCACGTCCACGTTTTTAAAAAGTGTTTCTTCCAGAATAGTTCTGCAGGGCTGTAGCCTAACCCCGAAAAGTTGAAGCAGTGCGGCAAGTGTATCTTGTTGCAATACGTAGTGTAGATCTCTAAGGAGCCACGGGCCACATTCAAAATGTTTGCTTCAGAAGGAATGTTCGTCTTATAGCCACCCATCAGCAGCCATCAAAGGGTGCTTTTTCACGAAGATTCAAAGCTTGCATACCTCAGGCAACCCGATCTGTAGTCTGTAGGACAACACCAACAAAATCAAGCCGAACAAAGTGTGTATTCTTTAGTATCTGTTGTTGCCAGGTAGATAATGCATGTGCGTACGAAAAACGTGCCACGTTCAAAACGTTTATTTCATAGGCCACGCTTTGTCTTACTAGCTGTCAATCAGGGGCCATCAAAAAAAGAGCGGGCATAGTGCTGCCGTGCTATTCGGCCTTGATGGGGACGGTGAGCTTCTGCGGGGCAGCGACTCCCTTGAAGGCGTCCTGAGGGGTGGCAGCATCAGCTGGAGCGTCGCCGTACTCGATGACCAGCTTGTCCTCCTTGGGCGGGCCGGCGGTGCGGGTGATCTCGACCGGGGCTTGGGCTCCTGGCTCGACGAAGCCGAACACGGGGTTCAGGCGGTACTCGGTGTTGTTTGACGACTTCACCTAAAGCGACAAGAGTTTGAGGTTGGATTTGAGCACGAAGATAGACTGAGCAGCATGTTAGAGCCTCACCTTGAAGACGACCTTGGCGGCTCCTCCATTGGCGAGCGTGTGGGTAACTTTGCCTCCGGCGGCGGGCACGACTCCAGCGGGCGGGTCGACGGTCAGCGTGGACATGTCTTCTGAGGGTTGTTCGTTGAAGTGGCGCTTCAAGATACCCACAGCAGCGGTTACGCCGTTTTTTATACGAGAAAATACAGGCTAATTGGGGGTAGTTTCCGGATTTTAAGCGTTTGCATTGTAATTTAAGATTCGTTATTAGATTTAGGTTTCGTCGGGGGTTTTCTTCTGACTCGTTCACCGTTTTTTTTTTTAAATTTTTGTATATTTGGTGCTTGTTATTAGTTTTTGTAGATTTCTTATATTCCTTTAGCTGGCTAGTGATAGTTAGTGTTTTTATTTTTTTATAGATTTGTAATAATCCGTTAGTTTTTAATCTACGCTGTAGATTATGTCGTAGCGTTACTTTCTTTTTAACCGCCACTCTTTCAGTGATTTTTTTCATTTTCATGCTTTTTGATTTCCGGCGCTGAACAACACACGATTTATTTCAAGGGGGAGGGTATGTTAGATTAGATTCGGTTCGTAATGGGGTATTAAGAAACATTTTTAGGGATAGCTGAAAAGAGAGAATCGAAGAATTCGGGACGGACACTCGGGGCTTTTGGGGGTGAACACGTAAAGCTTCTCGGACGCGGGGAATGTACACGATCAAATTGGAACAATTTTTTGGGGGGACTGGGGTATTGGGGGGTTATGTAGTTGATTGAGGATTTTGATTGGCTCCTTCACTCCAAATGGTGCCACTTTGACACTTGGCGTCCCGGGTTCGCCAGCACCTAAAAATCGGATTATTTAGGCATTAGGTGTTGTTATTTTTCTACCTCTTGCACATGGGGATCTTCTTTATTGAGTAGGGCACGGCCGATCACGTCGTTTCGGTTGTTCCGATCGTGGTTGATCACCTAAATTTACGGGTCTTAATCAATTTTAGTGGGTTTTGAAAGTTTTTACGTTTTTTTGTCGGCTTCTTTCTGTATTTCGTCTCCTTTTTGCCGTTATTATTTTGTAGGAAGCTACAAAAACCCACCTGCAAGTCGATCAACGCCGTATCGAGCTTGTCCTCGGGCAGCTCCAGAACGAACGACTCGTTGTAGACCGGATGCTGGTTTCCACGCTATAAGCGATAGTTTAGCTGGTTTAATAGTCTTAATGTATTATTAATATAGATAGTGTTTAGCTCAGCCTTTGGTTTAATCCAGCCTTTAGCGCCTTTCAACAACAATCCTCACCTTGACGTGCGTCTTCTTCTTCACCAGCCGCTCCCCATTCTCTTTCCGCAGATATAACTTGATGTACGGATCTAAACGATACGAATTTTCCGTTGTTTTCTTTGGATGCCTGAAAGCAAGGCAAGTCGACAATATTCCCATTTATCTTCCCCATGTCTACCCAGGCCCTTTCTAGGTTCGCATCTAGGGCCCCAAAAATTTTTCCCATGGGGGCCCAAAAAAGCAGGAACACCCCCCACGAAAATCTGGGCAGTTTATGGCCCATCCCCGTCTCCCGCGCCAAATGCCACATTTCGGGGGACAAGATGGGTTTTTGGGATGGGTGCTTCTAAAAGCTGGGTGGCTTTATCGGGGGTTTTGGTAGAGAGTACTACTACAAGACGGAGGAGGTCGTTTTTTAGTTCGAGCATACCAATGTGCTTGTTGGCGCCGACGGGCAGGGCGCGGGCCTTCAGCACGACCGCGGTGAGGTTGTTGAAGGCTGGCTGGTAGGTGAGCGAGACGAGAACTTCGCCTTGTTCACTTGCTGCTTCGCCGGTGAGGCCGACGGAGAGCTGAAATAGGGTTTTAGGTTGTTTAGAATTATTTCTAGGCTGCGGTTAGAATTGGGCTACTTTGACTACATCCGACTCCACGGGGTACTTTTTACAATTTAGAAATAGAAACGTACGCGCATTTAGAAATATCTTTTTGCCATAATGTAGTTTTCTTTCTATGCCCATTTTACGGGTTTTTAGACTTAGACACAGCTCAAAAAATTCTTCCTGTATTTTCGGTCACTTACCTTGACGCTGTTCTGGTTGGTGAGATCAGCATCTTCAAGTCGATAGATCCCCTCGCCGATCACTGTATCCCGCGAGTATCGATCGAAAGCGACGACCTGAAACTCGAGTTTTTACTATTTTCCGTTTTATACACCTCGGCCCTTTTTCTACAACTTTCAAAACCCGGCTGAAACATTTTTGTTGCCATAAATCCGGGGCTAATCCGCTTGGCGGCCAAGTGGGAGAAGGGAGGGTCCTAATTGGATGTGTGTACGTGGTTTGTGTAGGGTTTCTGGGCCCTATGGCCCACCCCAATCAATGGACGAGCCCCACACGGGGTTGATGACGAACGCAGAATTCGTGATGGCACGCAAATAGACGCGGATTATAGCAAGAAACTAGGCGTAATTAGGGTATTTTTGTAGCGTTGGAAATGGCTTCCCATAATCCGGATTTGGCAGCGATTTCCGGGGGAAGGCAGCAGAAATGGTTTAGGAAGCTCTCCAAAACCCATGCGTACCTGGAAGTGGATGGCGGCAGTCTGTAGATGTTCAGCGCCGACGCCGTACAGCGTGAACTGCTCCTCGTAGACGGGGCTGGTTGTGGAGCGGACGATTCTAGAAAAAAAATGCTGGTACTTAGGTATTTCCATTTGTTTCCAACAAGTAAAAATCGAACATTTTACAAAATTGTTTTTTTTCGAAATGTCGAACCTGGTCTTGACGCGGTGCTCCTTGTCGGGGAGGAGCTGAATTTTTACGTAGGGGTCGAGGAGGCATTGGCCGTCTCGAGACAGCTCCACCTCGCACAGATCTTTGCACGAGACGACTGTCACCTGAAATTGTGGATGGATTAGAAGATGGCGACAAAAGAAGGGCGCCTGAATGCGTGCGAGTGCGTTACGTATTTTGTTCTTCTCCGACACGCGACGTAATAATACTTATAAAAATATAGAACGGACCTGTAGACTGTGGACGAGCGGATCGTACGACAGCTCAAAGTCGACCTGGCCGCGGTGTTCGGGCAGTTCACCCGGCGAGAGCTTTCGGGTGCGATCCTAGAATTTAAAATTTATTGGCAAAACGGATGTTTTACCTCAAGGAGTGAGTGGAAAGGGGTGATTGGTGATGGGGAACTGTCGGTGGAGAGCGGCGACTGGACCGGGGAGATGACCTGACGAAGTCCGGCTGCGCTTTGAACCACCTAAAGTTCGGCTCGTAAAACTACGCACAGGTTTAGGCCATTTTGCGCTCATTTTCCTCAATGATCTCTGTTCGTTCGCCGTATATAAAACCGTTTATAATTGCAAGAAATTCCGTACGATTCCAAAACGCCATTTTTGCCATTTTCCTCAATGATCTCTGCGAGGTCATCAAATAAGGGGATTTTAGAACGCCTCAAACATCCATTTCCAACTTTTGCAATCACGTATGAGATTAGCGAGGAAACGTTGGGCTATTTTCATATTCTGATCCCCCCAGGGCCCAAAACGGGGCTCCCCGGCGCTCCGACAAAAACGTGGGGGCCCCCGCGGGCTATTTGCGGCTAATCGGAGAGAGGGGTTCTCTCTCTCTCCTTCTCTCTCTCCCTCTCTCCCTCTCAGATGACTTCATCTGGAAGCCGAGAGATGTTTTGTTCGCATTTTTCCCCAAATTCCCTAGAACGCTAAACCTATCGCCGGGGCTTCTTGTTATTGAGAAATCGCCTCGGATATTTGCCCTTTTCAGGCCCGGTGGGAATCGAGGAATTGCTCTATGAAAACTCAGAAATCCATCGTGTCTAGATGGGTTTGGAAACTTGTTGACAAAAGTTTTAGGGGATTTTAGGTATTCACATTCGTTACCGGATTTCTAGGGGTTCGCGTGTAGTTCCAAGAATTCATCGCGTCTCTGCGTCTCTACCCCGCCTACAGTATCAAATTTTGCAAATCCCGCTCATTTCCGATCTGTCTGGGCGGCGGATTGGGGGTTGTTCTGTGGGGCAAAATGAGGGGTTTCCGGGGAGATTTTGGTTTTTTTGTTCTGGCTGAAGGAATGCAGCTTATAAGAGGGGTCAGGTGGCTATCTGAATTATTAGCGTGATTTGGGGGGTGTCAATAGAAGTGTAGCGTTGGGGAGGAGGATATATTTATAAATTTTAAAACTTTTAAATCTTAATTTGTAGGCCTTCAAAACGGTAGAGAAGGTCGGTATCTTTCGGTAGGAAAATATATACCCAGCGCACTCGATCAGATCCCTTTTTGAAAGCTTCATAAAAACTGGAAATTCAAGGGATTGAGCCTATAGGGTTTTTTTATACAGTAAAGTATACAGCCGTTATCCAGTTTTAAAGTTTTTATACAGGTTTTTATCAAATTTATAAGCATTAAAAGCGGGTTTTTGCCCAACTTTTCGAAAATAAGACCCATGGCACCGGCCGTAATTCAGTTTCCCTTTTGAAATTTTCTGAAAACCCAGCTAGGCATGAACTACCACTGTAGAATCTGCACTTTTTAACGCCCCCAACTCTTCCAAAAACAGCCGACTTCCCCCCGCTCAGCTCAGTTTGGGCAATCATGGCAGCTTTGTTTTGCCGGGCAGCCCGGGGCCAATATGCCCGCTCGGGGCTTACCGACCCGTTGAGGGATGACTTTTCTCGGGGAGCGCGAAGCTAGGCACCACCGGGTAAATACCAGTCTTCAGCCAGGTTTCCCCAGGCAAAAAAGCCTCGAAATTCGCGGGGGGCTTAACCCGGCGGGGGCTAGAATTGGGCCCCAGTTTCCAAAATCGATTCTAGCGGGCTAGCGAAAAAGGATTGGCAAATCTCAGCGCATAAATCGGTGGTGCGTGAAATGGGCAGCGCAAAAATAGCCGCCGGGCAACAGATAGATACGTAAAGACAAAGTCAAAAAAACAACAGAAAGATACGTAAAAATGGATCGAGGCGGACCGGGAAGTAAAGCTGGCGAGCTAGCCGAGATTCTTTAGGACCCGTCAAAAGAGAGAAAAGAGCGCTGACCTCGGGAGAGTTTTTATATTTTAACTTCTAAAAACAAGACAGCTATTTATCACCGCGCCTTTTCAAACAAATTAAAATACGCCCTTTTCGATGCTACAAGACCTACTGTATAAAAATTGATAGAAAAAGATAAATAATCGATAAAAGCAAAAAAACAATATCTTTATCAATAGACTTTAAAAAGCGCGCCAGCAGAAAAGCTTTAGGCATTTAGAGCATTTTACCAAAAATAAAGCTAGAAAAGCGAGGGAACTACACTAAGCACCAAGGCCAACTAGCAGAGATCATTGAGCAATCCTACAAAAAATAAAATCCTCACCTTTGGATTAACATTCTTGACGGCCACCGACTGCTTTGAGGGGAGCAGGAGCGAGGGATAGGCTGGCTGACGGCGTTTCTTCATCACGAGAAGGCCCACAACTGCAAAACGATGATATGGGTACGGTGACCGGTGGGCGTCATTTAGAAAATGGGCCCACGATGGGTCACAAGATCGCTCGGTGATCTCATGGCGATGCGTTTTGTGGAGGTGGCTGCGTGGTTCGACACGCAACCCTCGCCACGCACGCTTTGCTCATGAAAAATTTAGTGAATTTGGGAGCGTTATGTGTTATAAAAGTTGGCAAAATATCTTGGTAAATAAATTTTTGTTTTAAAGGAACCGGCAAGGCATTATGGATTTTTGGGCTACGGATACTCTACAGATTTGGCCTTGCCGCAACACGCACCGCATACGCGCCAGATTCCAGTGCGTAATGGATAACTAAGATCGTTCGGTAGTCAAATGGCACGCGTTGCGTGTAGCGGGCTGGCAAAAATCCATAAAACTGCCTTGTCCGGCCCTTTAAATAAAACATAGATTCTTCGGCTATGGAATCCCCAAAAATTTGACGTTTCCCGCGACACGCAACGCGTCCGACAAACAGTATCAAGCTTTTAGACGGGCGTAATCCATTACGCAACGGAAAGCATTCCGCTCTAGACATCGCGTGTCGCGGCGAGCAGCAATACCCATAGAAAATCTGTAGCGAAAAATCCAGATCCATGACTTGCCCGTCCCTTTAATTACCGTTTTCTCCATCATGATATTACATAAAAACTATTTTTAAAATTTTATTAGCGCCAAAATTACCGTACAT